ATCGCTAATGATAACTTGAAGCCGCCTAAACCTTCACCTGCAAGATAAAGCTTTCGTTATTCTCCTGTCCTTTTTTCCGTAAATATAACTTCACAGCTTCTTTGTGTTCTGTTCTTTTCCAAACCCGAGTGTTTCAAGGAAAAACTTACAGAAATTTGCGTGGGAGCCGATTATATGGGGCTGCGTGTGATCTACTGGAGGACCCCACAGTATTTAAAGAACTTTTACTTATTATAATGCACCGTCCGCACAGCCATAGGGGGTACCTTAAGCACAATGCCGGGAAATAAAAAGTGGACCGGCGGGTAGTTTATAAACAAGACGCTGATTGTTTTGCACGCCTGAGTGACTGTTCTCTCGTTTTTTAAGGAAAACTTTATTTACCAGCAAGTAGCTCGAATTCAGCGTGACTATGGAATCCTCATCATTTTCACGGTGCGCACTCAAGGTCACGATTTTCGTTCGTTGGTTTTCTATTCGTCGTTCAGTTGTATAGGCGATATATTTTTTGGATGCGAAGAAGAGCAGCTCGCACTTCTTCTGCTGGGCTCGACTACGAATACATTGATATGGAGGTTACGCACTCTGACGCCTCCAATGTCCGAATAATCACGGAAGAGAAGTCCTCGTCTATAATGCAATCTAATCATGCGAGAAGAGACGTGCTTTTCGTCTAAGGGGTTGTTTTCATTGATTTACATTTTTCACTAGAAGTCAGCGAGACATTTAGTGGGAGCGCGCCACTAAATTCTGTTTATATCATGGGCAGTGGTAAGTGGATGTCTTCAAAGAGGTTGTTCAGCAGAGAACATGGAAGATGTTACCTTTTTACAATCTACTCTTCTCTTTTCTTCAATTCAGTGGTTAACCAAAGTTTTTTGGCTGCGCCAACTTGCAACGTTCTGTCATTAAAGCGTACCCGTTATCTCAATTGCTGCCGGCGAAAGGGCGCCCCTTTCGCGCGTCCTCAACATCCTTATGAACCCCGCCATCCAACCGCAGCCCCATGATTTGCCACGTGGTTGTGTATAGAATAGGGGCCATCGTATAAGCGGTGTTTTCTTTATGTCCAGGTTTCCGAACTTTCCGGGTTAACTAATGGTCAAGCAGATCACGATTTGCCCCTCTATTGGGCTGCTCAGCAGGTTTCGTTTGTGGATTATTTTTCATCAACACACTCGCCATTGATCACACAATTTGCAAATAAGGAGTACTGTCTCTCCGGTCAAACCAGCTAGCTTCGTCTCTCTCGCCTCTGATATACGACTCCATCTTTGAGGAGTTGAGTGGTATTAATATTAAGGATTAGGAGCGATGTGCCCAGCCATTTCTTTTTAATGCTGCCGCGTTCGTACACCATCCACGAAACGGACAATACCCAAGTGTGCTTGTCTAATAGAGGTTTCTCCTGGTCTCCTCCATCCACAATATTTAAGGCGATTGCTGAAGAGCTTAAGCACAAGCCGACTACCGTTTGGGGTTGCTACATCACCATCCCCTTAAAGGAAAAAGCTGTACAAATTGTGGACAAACTGACACCCGAAGCGCTAGAGATTGGTGTTATTAACACGAGTATTAGGGCGGAAAGTGGACATCTTATTGGAGACAACGCTGGTATTTGAGGGCGTTTTCTTCTTTTGTGCACTTTAGCGTCATATTATCCACTAAGACTGGCTGGGAATCGTTCGTTGTCTGAAACGCGCCGCTAAAAAAAGCACACTGAAGCTGCCAAGCACCATAAATACGGCGCTTGCTGTAGGCGCTGGTGGAACAGCGAAAGCCACAGTTTATGCTCTAAAGCAGCTAAAATTTGACTGCCTATAATCGTGCCCTTCTTGCATTCAGCCACGTGATTTGTTGCCTAATGTCCTCGCTTGTGTACAGGAACGAAATCCTGTGTACATTCCTCTGCCAGACGTTTTAATGAGTTCGCTTGTGACAGTCTCAACGAAGTCGGGTTAATGACTTTTGGCGTTAACTTCTTTATCTTTCCAAATCAAGTCAAATGGTTTGTAATAATAAAGTTGCAGATGGTTATATCAACGCTGCCCAATTACGCAGAAGTAAACCTACCGTAAAAAAATAATCTTGTGCAAACCAGTTTTATTCCAGGTGTCCTACAAAGCAAAGAATCTTCTTGCGAAAACTGTTAGAGGGAGGACGTATGCGTATATTATCTAATCCTCTTGGTAGTTTTCTGCGGCTCACATATCTTACTCCCCGAAAAGTTTTTGGCGGCGAATTGCTCATCTATCAGGGGCTTGAGCAGGCAAAAGTTTTACGAGCACACACAAGTTTTGCTGGAGGGAACCATCAAGGCTAAGCTATACGGCGTTGTGGGAGCCTATGCATAAGAAACTTTAATTAATAAAAGCTACTATGTAACAGATTTATTATTATTGTTGTTGTGTGTCTGCCAGAAGGGCGTTTGCAGAGCAGTCGAGGAGCGTGCTCTGCCGCTTCATAACCGAGACGGCCTCCGGCGAGCCTTTTGGGAGTTTCATGAGCTGCTTAGGGAGGGTTACCATCACCGGAACTTTACTTTGAGCATTTCCATGACTGCAGTAGTCGGCCAGATTGAGGGCTCCTTGGAGGGATTTCCTTGTGGAGGGCTTTGCCCTCGGCGACTCCCGGCTTAACTAGCACGTGCTCTCTGCACTGAGTAATAAAAGAGATTAGGAGTAGTTAGTAAAAGCAATGCGGCAAAGTCTATTAACAAAAAGTAAAAACTCTTACTTACTAGAGAAGATTTGAATATTTGCTTCCTATAAAGTAAATTGTATAAACGATCAGAAGTTTCCGCCACGTGTAGCCATACATCCCCATTTCGGCTGGCTAGTCCGAAAGTAACCTCTTCATTTCCTTTAGCCTTACTTTTTTCATAAATACTTGTTCAAAAGTACCGCAAAAGTACTTTTACGTACTTTCTAATAAGTATTTGGTTTCCTTTAGGAAGGTTATAATCAAAAATGTAATTTAGCTCTCGTAGCAGACATTTTGTCTGCAACAGGTTTTTTAGCTTTTTAGACGAGTTGAACAATCCAAAAAACTTAACTTTGCTTAGCATAAGTCGGTCTTCCGTGCTAAAACATATAATCTTACTAAACTTCAAAATGAACCCAAATAATATCTTTTTAAAGAACTAAAATACTCCTGAATAAGTTTTAACCCTTGTTTTAGATACCTATTCAACTTTACACTGTTATTCAAGCCTCCTAAGTTCTACTAAACCTCTACGCATTCTAGTAGCGTCATGATAAAGGCTTTTCGCCTGAGTATGGAGAAATTTGATTAATGTAAGCTTTAATTAATTTCTTTTAATAATGCATTTATCTAGAAACCTCATCCACGGGAGATTTGAATTTTTTTGTGTCCAACTAAACTTCGACTTCCGGAATTTTGTTAGCATCTAGATGCCCTCATACAATATGAGCAAACAGGATATTTATATTAAAATAAACCTGCTTCACTTAAACAGTTGTAATCAACTAACTTTACAGAATGAGGGTGCGGCGTAGAGCGGTTAAACTTGAGAATTATAAATAAATTTGAAGTGATAAGTTGAGCTTTGTAAAATATATCTTTCTCTTAAACAATCTTTGATTTTTCGCTAAATACAAAAAATCTTTCTTTCCTTTTTTTTTCATTTCTTAACAAAGTACCTGCTTTATAACTTCTGGGTTAAGGCTTTGGCTATATGCAACGTCATTTCCATTATAGTTAACGGGTCCCCAACTCCTTGCAAAAGAATGCCATCAAGTTATACATAAAGTTTTCTGTAGAAAGGGATGGGTAATAAGAAGCCTACTACGGAAACCCATAAACAAGCAACAGTAAGGGGAGATATGCATCTCCCACTTAATAAAGTTAGCCAGGAGACATAATAGTTGGTGTACCCGCTAGTTTAAGCCTCTTACTGTTAATTATTGTGCACGTTACTTTATAGCTGTTTGAATTTTTTACCCTTGTTAATTTTATTCTGTTTTTGTTGTGGTATCTTTCTATTATGTCAGAGGATTTTCAGTTAAAAAATTTCAAACTATGTATATTCATATTTCTAATGTCTTTCTCCTGGTTACTAAATATACTATTTCTACATGGTGGAATAGATTTATAATAAAAAAGATATAATAAATAAATCGAAGTTTTATGATTTAAATTTTTTCAGCTACGATCTTCGTTACGCAATAACAATTTTTAATAGCGAAAAAATAGGCAAGTTATGTTTTTTAACATTTTAACTATTATATTCAGCGAGGTTTCGCTGTAATAATAAATGTCAATCTTGTGCTCATAACGAGTTAATGAAATCTAACTATGGATGCATCTTTTTTTTGTTCGTCCGGGCAATAATTGCTGTTAATTTTGGCTCCGCTTTTAAAATATTCTATAAAATATAGCACAACTTGTGTGCTATGATTCAGGCGTACTGAATCATTCTTTTCCAAAAGAATAAAGTGATCTTATTCCCAGTTTTGCTTTTGAATAACATAATCCGATAGAAAAAATGTAGTGCCCCCTAGTTCAGTATTACAAATTTATTTAAAATCCAACTAATGACCACTTTTCTCTATAACACAATAAACCAAGATGGTAAGAGCATTTAGTTCACTTAATTGCAATTATTTATTACTAGAAATACAAGTATTATGTTTAGCAGTAAATAATATATACGATTGTCATACTTTAATAGACAATAAGTACTAAACTTTTCACTCGCTTTATATATTTAGTATCTAACAAGCGACGACTTATAAGCTTTAGCTACAACACTAGAGCATGAAATAACGATATCTTCACGGCCCTTATGACTCTAGTAAGTTCGTAGAGTGCTTGTAGACTCTGGCGGAGTATAGGTTTAGAGAAATTTACCGAAATTAAAAAAATGAGTATTCTTTATAAAAATAAAGTATTTATTTGCACTTGAGCTTGTACAAGTAATACTACAACAAAAAGTGCGAATATTTTTGTAGGCCATAAAAAAATATCTACAACTTTATAAAGCAATATAATATACGCGTAAAAGAAGGTCTCTTTTTAACTAACCCTTCAATTAAAAAATTATTAATAAAACAAAACATAAACTTCAACAACTTAAAAGTTCACTGATAATCGCTTGTGTAAGTCAGTATTCTTTAAAACCTACTCAGAAGACAAAGTTAGTCGTATATAAGAATATAATATTTTTCTACATTCAAACCAAACTAAACTCTTCCAGTGAGATTTTCCCATCCCGGTCGATAGTATCTGCCTAAAGCAAAAGTTAGTTCATTATTTATAATAAATAAAAAAATGAAAAAGAGTATCAACACAGATTGTGATGAATGAGATTGTGATGAATGAGCCTATAAATTATATATATTAGAGTAACTTTGTGATACCTCTTCAATCGTTTTATCAACTATTTTCCACAACTGCTTGTCGTCTATATAACTGCCAGTCATTAACTTTACTACTTCATAAAGCTTGAAAAGAAGAGCGTGATCATGTATAGTTAGTATTAAGGGGGGAAAATACCTCTTCTCTACCTATAAACCCATCATTGTCCAGATCGTAAATTTGAAAGGCAGCTCGTAGCTTAGCTTCTCGATTCCCGCTAGGACGAAACACGGAAAGAGTAAAACAGAAATCGCGAAAATTAATATGGTCTGTAAAATTTTCGTCAAACAAAGCAATTATCCTGGTAATCTAAAATATAAAACAATATTAACAATTAACATAACTATTGTTATTATTAAGTTAGTATATGAAACCCCGAAGAACGCAAATTATCTTTGATAGTAAGCAGTAATGTAGTACTATAAATATAGTTAATAAAGTTGCAAAATTTAAGTAAGAACCAAAGGATTCATGGCCAACTCAGGGACACTAATAAATTCTTCAGAGCTTATAGTTCCTGAATTGTCTCTATCTAAGTGCTTAAAACGGGTGTATAAGTTCCTAATTTGCTCAGAAGAAACTTAAGTTATATATATATAAAGTATTATTATATTTTAGATAAATAGGAGAAGAAAGCTGACATCCTGTTAACTGGCAAAGCTCTTCGGTTTCTTCTGCAGATAAGTTGTCAACAGAAAGATGGCCACCCATTCTGGTCTCAATAAAAGATTTATAAAAGCAGGTATTTATTTTTTATTAAGGCTCTTGCAAGAGTCTTCTAATCAGTAAACCGTATTACTAATTGATGCATAATAATCGCGTTGACCTAACAATTTTACCACGGAAGGTCTGAGCCCGAGTACTTAACACAAGGGAAAGTGTGCGAGGCAGGCCGTCTTATAACTGCGTGCAACAAGTTTTAGTTTTGTAAATTTTTTTATTTGAAAACTTTTCTATACCTAGCGACAGTTTGAATGCGTCTATGAAAAATATTAGAAATATCGTCGCACAAGTACGCCATACCAATTAGCAACGGTAGAAGTTTGTATTTGTGTACTTGAAGTGCTGCCAACTTTAAATATTTCTTAAAGTTTTTTTTTAAAATGAATCATGGGTATTAATTAAAATATATGGAAAGGCAGCCAAGGAAGTTAATTACAGTGCACTGCAACTACAATGTTATACAATTAATCCTACCTAATATGTCGAGATTTTTTTAAACTAAAACATGCCGATAACATGGGTACTATTCTACGGCCCCCTGCCTCGTATTACGGTTTACATGCTTAAGCTAAGGGCTAAATTGGCTTTAGGGAACGTGTTTACAAAGTATAAGTATTTCAACTAAGATGCTTTTTTTTAATAAGTTCTCAGTCGCATACTTGTTGTCGCAAAGAAAAGGATGCTCAGCACGGATTTGACTGATTATTTCTATCAACTAAGAGCTCCAAACAACTTTATGCTCTTTGCTACTGTTAGCCTAACATAATTTACTTTTGTGTGCATATAAAGCTAACTTGTTTTAATAAACATTTACACTTAAACGCTCCTCCTTTCTAGGCGAGGAGCTCATAACTGGGAAGCCTGGCTGGCGGTGGTGCTATTCAGTTTTTCCAGGCGGCCTCGGGTCCTGTGGTGAAGACTGTGTCTCCCGGTAGTGGTCTTTGGTGGTTCCCGCCACACTAAACTAAATAATGTGTGCCCTGGAGCGATATTTTCCGCCTTCCCAGTCCTTCGGGGATAGTCAACGTAGCTCTCTAAAGTGCGTACACTGGCGGGCACTCGTGCCCCAACCCCTGCAGAAGAGGGGATTCAGGTTAAGTGAGTTAAGTAAGGTCTTAAGAAGACCGGGCGTAGTATACCAGTGCTTTAAAAAAAATATTAACACTTTTTTTCCTTCTGACCAGACCAATTTCTGGTGAGCACTTGCTTGGTTTGCTTGGAGGGGTTACTTATTCTCTGACTACTGTACATAACCTCCTTGAATTAAGAATAAGCAAATTTGAATCATTTACCGACAAAGCTCACAATAAAGCAGATTTACTGAAGCTCAACAGTAATTTTAGAGCCCTGCTTTAGAAGTCAAAAAATTCAGTTGACTAACTATTATATGTTTCATAACATATGTGTCGAAAAAATCTTGGCCGCAATTTTTTATTAATAACGAGAGTTTATAGAAGGAAAATATAGTAATTTTCTTATAGTATTGTGAGGAAGCTAAAAGAGAGCGCGATCTTTGTATATTTTTTTTTGTTAAAAAATTTCATATTACTTTAATTTCATTGGTTTTATGTATTTTATTTGTATATTATTTAATATCTAGTGATAAATTAATTTTTCTGGGCGAGCGGACAAGAACATTGCAGAGTGTTGATTTGATAACTGAAAGTGCCCAAATGTTGCGGTTGGTGCCCAGCCGAAAGTAAACACCTCAAAAGGTTTTTTTACATATGTATACACACACAAGTAGGTATTTTAGTCAGGTCAAAAGTAGGCGAGTATATTGAAAAAACGTAGGAAATCAGTTTATTAAGGTTCCAAGTTCTAAACAATGCGCCGAAAATACCACAACTTCATGAAAGGTCCGTCTCTTCTGTTAACTAAGATGTAGAAATACCAGCCTAATGAGTGTTATCTATAAACTAATTGTAAAAATCTAGATTTTTAAACTTTAGAGCTGTCCCGATTGTAACAAAAATACAAACGTTTCTTTATAATATTAACCTGATCAATACCTTTATTTTTAAAAAACATTAGTAAACCAATAACATAGGATTTTTAAAATTATGGAGCGCATGTATTGTGTAGTGGTTGGAGTAGTTTACATTTAACCTTTACCACCCTTTCATTTAAGCGCGAAAGACTTTATTTTTGGGTTGGTCAGCCGTATTGACTATAAAACTTTTTGATAACAAAAGATGGATTATATATACTAAATGTAAACTATCACCACCACTATTCCATGGTATTAGTAATCTTGTTTAGTATTTATGTTTCTAAAGTAAACTAAAGAATATTGCTCAGCGAATGTTCAGAAGCAAAGTTTGTAACTACATTCTCTTATCCTCCCCCACCCCCCCTTAGACTGCAACACCGCTTTAGTTACCTTGTTAGTTACCCGTGAACACCTCATGGCAACTACATATTGTTATAACCCAAGCAAAGGCTATAACGTTCTATTATGATGAAAAGCGCTAGGCTAACCGAAATTACCGTAATATATATAAGGATTTAATAATAATAAATAAAGCAAAATAAGAACACTTTAAACAAAAGATAAGTAAATAATTTAAAAAGAAAGATTATGGATAAAACTGAATATAACAAAACTTAAGGCCCTCCTTGTGCCCTGCCGAATAATTAGGCGTAACGTATTGATTTTCTAAGGCGATATATCTAAGTTTCTATAAAACGAACTTAATGGATGCAGAGTTGAGCTGAGCTTCTCTTTCAGCGCTCTAATTTAAGATTTGAATCTTTTTAAACCAAATTAGTAATACTGGCATACCTTTTTGACCGTGCCTTTCTAGTTGCCGGTAAATTTGGTTCCTTTTAGATCGATTGCCTAGTACAACTTTTATTTTACAAATTTCATACCTTGGAGTTACCAATTGCTATCTCCAAAAGTTTGTTAAAAGAAGTAAGACTTCGGCAAATATGTTGCACAGTTATTGGCCACCGCTCAATATAAATTTAATTTATATTAACTATATTGTTAATGTATTTGCAAAGGTTTGATAAAAAATGACATACTCAAAACAAACGTAAAACAAAACAGAAAATCATGGGTGGTGAGAGGTCTTAAAGGACTTCTGAATATTTTATACTCAACTATTAATAAGTCGGCATTACATCTATTTGTAAAGCAAATATTCCAGCTTTCTAAAGAAAGAGTACATTACCATGAAAGTTAGAAAGAGGCTCATGATAAGTAAAAAGAAACGCAAACTTTAGCTTTTTTATTTTAGCTAATCTTGCGTAACGTAAGGACCAAATTTTTTTTAACTACCAAAAAAAAAATTAACGCACATGCAGCGCATTACAAGTTTAGTGGTTTACTTCTGTTGAATTTTAATCTGTTATCTTTGCACATGTATATTTTAGGGCTATATATAAGATTGATTTAAGTGAGAGTATAAAAGCTTCTGCGCTCTTTTGGTTCCCCCCTTTGGTGTGCTTGCACTAATTTTGTTCTAATCCTGAGAATGGAGCATGGAGCTAACTATCACCACGCCATTAAAAGAGAAGACAAAGTCTTAATTAACAATTTAATCAACATGTCCAAAAAAGCTGAATTAGATGAAAAATACGAAGACTTGATTATTTTATATATGAAACTAATTAGTTATGCAAACAAACTTTTTTTAACTAATTTATTACACAAATGTGAAGCCAAATTTAAAAAAGCCCTAAAAAAATTTAAAGGTAGTTTCTTTGTTTTTTTTTTCAATTGCCTGTTGTTAAACTTTTAACTTATATCTTCGAAAAAATTTATTTTATTATTAGGTGAAAAAGGTAAATTTTGTATAATTACAAATGTATGGTTGCCTGAAAAGTACTTTATATAAAAGATTATCCTGATGGCTCGACAGTATTACCTATCGATGCGAATCGTTTACAAAAACTTTTACCTCACCAGATTGAGGGGATCCAATTTCTATTTAAGTTGTACAACTCACGCCCTGCAGGAGGGATTCTAGCAGATGAGATGGGGTTATGTATATACTATCCTAAGATGCTATATACATCTTACAAACCTTCTATTGTATATTAGTTTGGGAAAAACGGTTCAAGTAGTAAATTTTATTGGGGCTTTAATTAAATATAAGAAAGCTAAGTATTTTTTACTTACGTTGCCAAAAATGGTTCTTCCTCAATGGAAGAAGTGTTTTTTTTTCCTCCTTTTTTTTAAATTAAAATTCAGGTTTTTAATATCATATAGAGAGTTTTATAAGTGGCAATCAAAATTATGTATTTTCGATGCTACTCAGCCCAACGTGTCCATCTCACTTTTCCTTTCTAGTAACGAATATGCTATTGTTCTGGTTACATACGGTTTTAATAAACTAAATGTATACCATCGAATGATCAACTTTAATAATTTATTTTAGGGTTATTATGCAGTAGATTAGAAGACTTTTGTCCTTCTGATTTTATATATGACATTCTTATTTGCGATGAGGCGACAAAATTAAAAAATGCTCCTTCTAAAGTGCATCAGACATTGTGTAAAATACCATCCTTGTGTCGCATTGGTCTTACCGGAACTCCTATACAAAACAACTTGATGGCATAATTAGATTTATTATAGTAGTTGTAAACTATGTGTGTGATAGCAATATTTTTCTCAGGAATTCTGGGAGCTTTTTAATTTTTTTAGCCCCGGAAATTTATCATCCATAAGAACAGACTTCCGTAAAGAATTTTCAACTCCTATAAATAAAGTTATTATTTTTGTATTTTGGTTTCTGGTCTCTTACGCTTTCTTTACTAATTCCTTTTTGCATTGATAAAAGTTTAACGAAAAAAAAAAAGATTTTAATTTAAAAGAGGGAGTGTTTATTGATATTTGTTTTATGCTAAGAAAGGGAAGAGAAAAAAGCGCCTCCGAAGGGGAAAAGTTACTCGGGGATACGCAGTTGAGGGTTCTTTCCGACCTCATTCAACATCGACTTCTACGCCGTACTAAAAATGAGACTCTTCCGAGGTTCTTTCTTAACGTTGTTTTTTTATAACTTTTAATTTGTGTTTTTTAATAATTAATATATAAAAAAATAAAAAAATAAACTTTTTTTTGGTTCAAATTTTAATTTATATTATTTTTAATAGCGGCCCCTCCAGCAGTTACTTGCCAGCCAAACATGATCTGTTTGTCTGGATCCGGATGACTTCTCAGCAGACGCTTTATTATAAAAAGTTGCTCACCGAAGTCCATGAGGGACCGCAGATTTGCTTAATTTCTTTATAAAAGAAGGTACAAAGACTTTTATTTATAGAACCTATCGGGATGTCCGTTGGCTCATATACAAAAACTCAAATTTGCTGCGTTCCATCCTCTGCTATCGTCCTACCACACCGGCCCTCACGTGTCTTTGGAGAACACTATTCTGGACGACTGGTGTCCCAAGTGCCTGAAGGCCTTGACTTCTTACAGTCGCTCATGTCTACACGCCCTGAAAGGGATGAACTGCTCCGGTCGAGCGGAAAGTTGCATTTTCTTAGCCAGTTTTTACCACTGTTAGCTCGGGAGAAACGCCGACCTCTTATATTCTGCGACACACTCATTGGCTTGAAGTTAGTCAGTGTGTTACTGAGAAAGCTGGTTGGCTTCTCCGCACGACTATTATTGAATCGCGTAGACTTAATTTTCTTTAGCATCTGAGGCACGTATCACTTCAGGGGGACCTGCCCACCAAGCAACGGGAAAAGTTCTCTAATATACATACATTGGCTTTGAAGCATTTTTCTTACTGTTACAAACCTTTCTTTTTTTGGCAGGCTTATTAGTACCTATAATTCCCAACGGAAACTTTTTGCGCTTCTGGCCACTACAAAGCTGTGTGGGTACGGCCTTAACTTAGTAGGCGCCGATACCGTTATTCTGTGTATGTTAAGCAGATTTGTCCGAACTTTTTTTTTAACTTTTTTTTATGACGTGCTCAATTGGTTAGGCGATTTATCCTGGAACCCTGCAGAAGACGACCAGGCGGCCGACCGGGTTTACCGCTACGGCCAGCAGCGAGAAGTGCTGATTTGCCGACTGGTGTCATGCGGTTCCATAGAAGAAAAAATATGCAGGGCTCATACATAACCTCGTGGCCGAGACGTGTAGTATTATTAAGAAAGTTTCGGTACCAATAGGTTCAAATAATTAAAGCGGGTCTGTCAGCTGCAACGCTTATAAAGTCGGCCTCGACGGTGCCCAAAAGGTTTTTTTTTGTGTTTTTTTTAGCGCACGCCATGAAGTTTGCGGGTGGATATTATTATTATTATTATTCTAGGTACTTTTCTGAGGAAGACCTGAATATACATTTTCGGCTTGAAGATCCCGAAACTTCTACGACGCTGGCGGCTCTCAACGCTGAGCTTTCTTTTCTCCCGGACGAGCGGGATTGCGTCAAAACGTTGGAGGCACTTGAAGGCGCGGCCTTTGTTTTTCCTGCTCTCAACTTTTTTTTTGTACTAACCGGTCAAGAACACCAATAGGCGTTTGCGGCCTGGTTGACCGCACGCGGCTCCTTGATGAGGTCGACTTGTCGAAGCTGCAGAGCATTGCCGTGAAGGTGGCGGTGGCCTGCGTAGCGGCTTAGCTTCGTTAATGGACCACGAGGCTAACTCTTTAAGTTGTGCAGCTCGATCAGGAGGGGCCGACAAGCCGTTTTCAAGTCACTCAACGTATTGCGGCGCTTTCCTCTTTTTCTGTGCGATGCGTGGAAAAGCTAAACAGCAGCACCTCGGTTCTTTTGGAAAATCGATTGGGCGTCGAGGAGGAGAAGCACGTGGTTTCAATCAGCCTTTAAATTTTTTTAGCGGAGACTTCAAATATCCTCAATGAGCATTTAGGATGCCAGCTATGAGGCGTCTGGCAGTACTGCTATTGGCCGGACCAATGGCCACTGTAGCGGATTTGCTGGTGTATATTAATAACGAGAACCCGCTTTTTATGACACCACTAACTAATCGGAGTAACAATTACGCTACTATTACTGTTACCGTAGACGAGCGCGTGGAGGATCTGCTGCCCACGCTAGCACAAGTAAGTTTTAAGGACGCCAGTCACGTGGGAGATCCACCCACTACCGGCGCTGTTGTTCCTTCTCAAGCTCGCCTATCGAAATGTCATATTTATGATCTTTTTTGATTCGTCCAAAAATATAAGTTTATTCACGTAGCGCCGTTTCAGGGGACCAGAATGACTCAAAAACGTCAAATGGTATCTTTTGATTGGGTAGTAAAGCCCATTGAGCCACCCATATTGCCCCCAATAAATTTTTTAGGCTATAAATGGGCTGGTGAAAACAACATTTTCGGAACTCAACCAGGTATTCCGTGGCTACTTTCTCACTGGCCCCATGTTTTAACTTTTAACGCTGCTAAGATTTTTCAGCTTCCTAGCGATCTATCCATCACTTGGGATAAAAAACTTCGATCAACGGCTGGAACTACGCTGAATAAGTGGTCTGTTATTTTATTATTTTTTTTCTTTTCCTTATTATTACTCTTATTTTTTCATTATATTGCTACTTTGTTATTACAGGACCGAAGAAGGAGTCAGAACTTCTACTATTCAGTTGAATCCTCGCGTTATTGGTTCAGAAGGTCGTGATTTTTCCTTTTAACTTTTTATTATGAATTCGAAAAAAAATAAAAAAAAGAAAAGTTAATGGAAACTCTAGCTCACGAACTTTGCCATGCGGCTGGTCTCTTATTCATAGCATTAATGTTATTTATTCTCATGTTGGTTACTAAGTTATTTATATATATGTAGTCTCTAGCTGGTATTAATTTAATTCTTCAGCGGAATTTATTTTTTGTTGTAGTGAACTCCTTTTTAGTTATATTTTTATTAAGCAACCTTTCTTATACTTAACTGTTAACTTTGAATTTTTATAATTTTGGTTATAACTAATTTTAATTACTTTATTTTTCAATGATATTTTCTATTATTCTCGCCCTCTATAGCGTGGCAATTTGACGGCGTCTCCAAGCCGCCTCACGGCCAAGCCTTTAAAAAATGGTCGCTTCTACTTTTTATTTCTACTATTTTCTTACTAAAGAATTATCATCTATAAGAAATTATGAATAAGAAATATTTATAAGAGAAATTTATTAGAAATAAATTATTATAAAAAAAATTTAACAAAATTAATAAAAGCAATAAAGTGGATGGCCTTGTAAAATGTTACGATTATTAATGATTGGAAAAATATAAGTACACTTAACTCATAATTTATTGTTAAAAAATATATTTGTAACTGCTAATTATAGTTTATAGGAAAAATAATATAAAAAGGAAATTTTATAAACTCATTATATTTAACAAATAAAGAAAACTAACTTTTCAACATTATTTAGTGATTTTACATATTATATAATTGAATTACAGAGATTTAATAATTAGTAAAGGGATAGTGGCAACCACTTTGAAATTATAAACAAAATTGAAACAATATAATTGAATATACAAGAATATTAGAACCATAAACAAAGTAATTATAATAGTTTATAGTTTTTAAACTGAAATTAAAATATAATATACCTAATCGTAAGATTTTATACTAGTAAAAATAGGAATACCACTACTTTAAAAGTTTAAATACTGACATTAAAAAATGTATATTTTCAAAATTTGATAAATTAATAATTAATAATTAGAACCAAATTTTTAAATTTTATGCAGCGGATTTGAAAGTAATAAAAACACGGGAATTTAATTTCGTAAAATATTGATTTTTTATAAAATGATTGTGACTAACTTTTAATTTCTACCAACGAAATTAAAGAATAATAAAATAATAAATATATATTCTTAAAAATAGTAATAAACGAAATAAAAACTATTTTTTATAAACAGTGAAATGAAAAAGTAAAAAAAATATGAAAAAAATTTAACTAAATTTTGGTTTTTTTTTTTTTTTTTTAGAATAATTAATAAATATATTACGACATTTTAAATTTATACTTTGGAATAAAAATTAAAAATATTGAATATTCAGTTCCTAATAAATTAAAGTTAATAACTTTTTTTTAAAAATTTAAGCTATTAAGTAAATAGTAAAATAATTAAATTCTAAAAATTTAAACAAGCCTTGAAAAGTATTTGTAATTAATCTATATCTTATAAAAATGAAATTAAATAATCATAAAATTTACAAAATAAAAATAAGTTAAAAAAAATTAATAAAAGGGCGCATCGTGTCAGGCAGACTCTTCCTACAGTTTGCGTTAAAACGTGGCACACTTTCGAAGTTCATTATAGATATTACTACCAGTGTGTTAACGAACTTTGCAAAGAACGGTAACTTTTTTTTAATTAAGAATGCTAAAAGACTTTTACTTATTTAAATAATTATACGAAAATACGCGAAAAGTAGCAAAAATATAACTTAATCTACTATATATTGAAAAAATAATATTTGGAGTGTTTTTCAAAAAAATAGTATAAAGTAAATTATAACAAGTTCCGAAGTTTATTAGACTTTCTTTTTTTTTCAATCCTAAAATGTATATGATTTTAACCTCAAAATCAGATTGTACATTAAAAAACAACGACTTAATGTATAATAAAGATTTGGATTTCAGAAAAAACTTGCGGGCAACTCGCAGCGGTCTTCCTGTAGGGTTTGTGGCAGGTGAAAAATATGTTCGTGGTTACTCTTTATTTTCTAATTTTATTACGATCAGTTCATTAGAAGCAGATTTTTGAAGAAAAAAAATTTCTTTTTGCAAGAAATCTTAAGTGAGACTATAAATTTCTACTCTTGAGCGGGCTCTTACCAAAAATTATTTAGTTTAGCAGTTTTCAAAAATAATACTTTCATACTGAATAAAATATAATTTTATATTAACGGCAGCAACATTAAATTTTTATCTGCGAAAAAAATTTATAAATTTAGATTTGTTGTTCCCCTTTTTTTTACTAAGAAATTTTACAAGTTTTTACTCCAATTTACCTTTAGGGAAAGTTTTTTAAAAATTTACAACGCTTAAAGTTCTGGGAAACTAATAACTTTTTTTTTGCGTAAAATATCAGACTTGCACAGGTTAAATTATAGCGCAGTCGTTGTAAGAGTTAGTCTACTATAAATTAATAGAATAGTAAAAGAAGTTAATAAAATTTGTTTGAATGCATATACAGTTACCGCTAGGCCCAGATTAAGTGGGAAAAATTAAAGTTAAAAAAAAAAGTATTTGACTTTATCCTTACAATTGCTTAATTTTAATTAGAATACTAAAGTGTAATAAAAATTGAACACGTTAACCTTTTATTCTTAATTTACATTTAGAAAATGTCTTAAAAATTATTAAAAGTTTAATATTTTAGAAAAATTAGCACATTTCGCTAACTATTTCTTTTGTTTGCCTTCTTTAAAAAGTCAATGAATTAAAATAGTTGAAGTTGACAATTTAATAAAAGAAACTTATGAATATGTTAAGGTGTATATACTCCTGCCTCTGTTCCATAAGCATTGTTTAGCCCCTTTGCTGTCTCCTAATATTGCAGTCTCGCGGGTCTGTACGCTTCATTACACTTGTAATCTGTAATACGATCGTAAAGTTATGCGGACGTAGGCAGGCAATTTTATTTGGGATTATAAAGCAAAACAATCCAGAACAATCTTGACTTTTACGTTTGTATAATGAAGTTTAGACAGACGAAGAAACATTACCATAGATAATTGGTTTATTAGTTTTAAATTAGTGATGTCATGCTACTGAAGTACCGAGTAACCATCCTAGGTACAAATAGAAAGTAGAAACGTTAAATACCGCCCTAATTCTCTGGTAAAATCCGTTCACAGTTTTCAAGTATGTTTGAATTCGAAATAAATCCACACTACTTCCGTATATCCCAAAAAAAGGCAAAGTTGTGCTTTTATTATCAAGTTTGTATGAATTGACAGTATTGATAAGAATACTTAAGAAAAAAGTAACCTTAGATTAGTAACAAGCTACAATCAACCCAAGGATGTGTATATATGGTCGACGAATTGTGAGTTTTGTATTATCGCACCGCAACAAAAACCGGTGACCAATGGTAATTCTTCAGTATGCTCTACGTTGGTTGGTATAAACTCTCAAGTTATAAATGTAGGAAACGGTTACCAAAGTAAATTTGGAAACGAAATTTTTTTTTGGAAATCTATCATTTGCACTTATGACGAATATTTGAGAGAGCGTGCGATAAACAAAAATTTTCCGCGAAACAAAACTGCTAGAATAAAGGGAATTGTAGGTATTCAAGACCCGGAAGAGATTCAAGAAAGAGATAACCCTAGAGGAAACTGCTCTAAGTGTAAGGGTAAAAAGCGAAAAACAAGATATTATTGCGCAAAATGTAAAATATACTTGTGTTTAGAACATTCCTTTGTTATTTGTAAAGATTGTTGCGAAAAAAATAGGTAATATTTAGTCGAGTGAGATGCCCCTCCAAACAAACTGTTTTTGATAATTTTTTTTTTTTTTACACTAACTGAACTTTCTTTTTATTCTTTCAGCAGTAACATACGCCGTTTAATATTCAATATTTGAAAAAATTAAAATAAAAATGTAAGACTATGTTATGAAATGTATTCGTTGCATTCTGATTTGTTTAAACTTTCAAATTAGATGGAAGTTAAAATTTAGTGTGACCTGACCTTAATATCTCGATAAACAACAAAAGTTCAAAAATAACGATTTTTATTTAATTTAAAAGTAAAAAATTTAAAAACCCAGTGATCTGAGAGGCCTTCTGCGACTACTATTGTCTAAATTAAGATGTGCAACTATTGTAGGGTTAAAGAGGTAGTGGCAACTATATTTTCGCTAGAATTTTTGCCTGATTTTGATAACGTTGTGTTCCTTAAAGCCGCCCTAACCAAGACAAGTATGATAGTAGACAAATTTTTTAGAGGTAAAAGAATTTATAATAAAGTAGTGCAGTAGTAAGCACTTTTGATAGCCGTAGATATGTGTATAATAAGCTGAATAATAGTAGTAATGGCAATTTTATAAAAAAATAGTTGTAATTACAGCACTAGTTATAATAAATTTTTTTTTTAATATTGGATATCAATTATAGTAATATAGTTTATGATGGTGTTAAAGATTGAGTTATAATAATAAATGTAATAAAAATAATTACTGGAAGAATAGTAATTACAAGTCATTAGATAGTTCGACTATATAGAAGTTTTAAAAAGTTTATAGGTAAGGCTGTCGATGAATGCGAATTCTGTCAAAGATCTGGGAAAAAAGGCGTAAGCCCTCTTAAGAACTCCGTATGTTAACAATGTTTGTAAAACCACTCATCCGTTGATATAAATGGTAATGCTTAGAACCACAGAGGGTCTTAATAGCGTTTTTGTTATACTTGATAGACACACGTATGTTTAGTCCTAAGCAATATAAAAAGTAAAAACACGGTCCATTATAGAATGTTTCAAAAAAATCTTTTAATAGCAAATATTCAAACGGATCAACTTTATATCGACAATCTGTCTATAAAAGTAAAGATTTAATAGCACTGTTTAACAGGTACGGGGTTAAGGATCATTTATTACTACTGATTACCATCAGTCTAGTGGTCTGCGTGAACGAAAAATGCGAACTATTTAAAAAGCTTTTTGGAAATATAATTTGAGTAGAATGAGATACTTTATTAGATTATCACACCTATAGACATAACAGAATTTTCTAGTGTGTTGGGTGTCAGTCCAATGTTATGATGTTTAAAGAATCCACAATTTCCCTGACGATTTATTGCGCCTTCAACGAGAAGAACGGATGCGCGTTGCCATCCCCGCTAAATAGTACGTAATTTAAAACGTAATAGCAAAGTAATAAAATATTACACATAACGCTAAGTTAAGTATCAATACCATTATGTTATTAAAAGTATATATATAAATAAGTTAACAAATTAAACCATAATCTCAGCCATTTCTCTAACAGATCTAAGAAATATTTTGACCGCAAATACTTGGTGTACCAACGTGAGTCTTAATCAGAACCTGTCTCTACTTATATATTGTGGCGACCGCTGGTCCTATAAAAGGTCAGTTCCGGGAAATTTTAGACTTTTATTATTAGGCTCGAGGTTACTCTCTGCGATACACACTTTTTAATTGTAGTCCCTTATAAGTTTATTGGACTTACTTTGTTTATAGTAAATTCAGTCTTGTTATGTGAGCCCGCAATAATTATGTTGAAAAGTTAGACATAGTCCTTCAATTAGTCGAGGAATTACGCTTACAAAGCCAAGGAACTTCTAGCACCAGAGATTTTTATTTAGTTTAGTTACGTAGCGTGGAACGTACTCTATATGTGAAAGAGTTGTCTTCGTCATATAGTTAGTGGGTTCCTTGGCAACAGAATTATCTGATAAGAAAACTTAAAATGGACATTTAAGTTATGATACCTCAAATTTACTTCTAGCAAATTAGGTATAACGACTGCGTAAGCGACACATCCACGGTCGAAATCATTACAAGTTAATATTAGTCTACGTTTTTCTTAAAAAAATTGTCCGTGCCAGTATTAATGTATTTATTTAAGGTGAAATAGCTTAAAGCCTGTATTTTAATATTGCTACCAAAATTTTTTAATTAGTACACCATTGACTTTAAACGATTTCGCTCATTAACAGGGCAGGCAACCACTTTATGGGCATGCGCAGAAATTTTCACTGCTCTAGGGGGACTTCCCCTTAGGCGATAAAGAACCCCGAAAGGATTTTTTTACGACTCCTTGAGCTTACCACTAACATAATTTAAACATGTTTTTCATGTTCTGTTACTATTAGAAATCAAGCTTTTTTCTGATACATTCTTAGACGACTGGTTGTTGCAACTAACCAAGTAGGCAGGTTGCCTGATACTATTTGCCTTCTTTAAGGCCAAATATAAATTGTTGCCTCAAGGCAACTTCGTTAAGTCTAGAAAAATTTCGGATAAACTAAAGGTAATATCATAATCGGTCAATGAATCTAATTGATGGTTGTTTCTAGCCTCTTGGGCTTCAGCAAAGACAAAGTTGTACTTGAGAGTGCTAACAAATTCCTTGATACAAATTTTTTTGTTGCCATAGCTTGCTTTAAAACTACTTAAAGCTAAGCCTTGCTAGATACGTGTGTAGGCGAAGCCATCAATTCTCAAACTATTAATAGCTGGTGTCCCACATAGATCCTCCTATCACCCCTACTCTTTGCAGTCAACTGGAGTCCTCCTAGGGACTACTATTAACCCGAAGAAAGCGAAATTTATTCTATAACGAAGGTGCTTTGTAGACAAAATAATATATTGGTGTTCCTAGGCATTATACATGTGGTCTTCATTGATAATAAGCACTCGTGACGGCCGCACGTAAACTATATCGTGGAGAAGGTCAAGGCGGTCAAAACTCTTTACCATCTACTTTGTGCCAAAGGCAAACAGTCGTTGCACAACAAGCGACGCTTATATAAGTTATATTCGGCCCATATGACATACGCATCTACTGCCCGGACCTATGACCCACCGGCAATAGCTTTTTCGCTTAAAATGAACAAAACAAGGCGTTACACATTATAACATGGGCACCGAAGTTTTCTCGAAACGGTGTTTACATCAAGACCTCCTGATGATGTGTCTAGCCTGCTAATACCAATTAAGAACGGCTTACTTAGCACATTAATCGATTACAGGCAAAAGAGTTAAGTTACTGCTCATAGGACAGTGCACGCTAGCGCCGACGGCGCAACGGGCTACTTAGTAATAACATAGAGATAGGGCTAGAATTAAAGAAATAAAATTCATATTTGTATGAAATTGCTTTAACACAAGATTAAACCTAATTTGTGAGGCTATTGTCCCGTTAAAATCAGGTAATTCAATGTTTTCTTTTTGGCCTAATCAGCGCTAGGAAATACCATTAAAATAATAAAAAGACCACTTTCCTTCCTCTCCATCCAAAACTACAGAAGTCTTTATTATTAAATTTCATAAAATAAAAATTATCACAAGATGGTGTTTACACGAACCAGCGTAACAGTAACATTTATATAGAAATTTATTAAATTTAACAACTGTCTACAGTTTTTTGTTTCTAGTAATACCTGTTGATAAAATTAGAAACTTACAAAGTAACTTTTGTAAATTTATATATATATTTTTAGTGGAATTATTAGTTAGTACCCTGTTAGCTTTTACTGAAAACGAAAACCAGTTATAAGTATAATAATTTACAATTTTTCAAAAATCTCCTCGATTTTCCTTAAAGGAAAATACAAATACTTAAACTACTTAATAAATTTAACTTTTTTAGTAAATAACAACAAAAAGAAAAGCAAAAAGATTAGCAAATGTAAAAATGTATTAATATATAATTGTTTTGAATTAATGTATATATAACTAATTTAAATAATAGTCATTAACATTATTTATAATAAATATAAAGTTTTAGCTTCCATCTGTTGGTCTTCTCAGTTTCTTTTTAGCGGCCTTAAAAAGTATAGAAAAAGAGGAAAAGTTAAAAAAAAATTATATAGATCCGTAACTAAAACTAAAATAATCGCAAAAGACCAAAATGAATATGTCATATGTCTTAACCAATAAAAACAACTATACGCATTTCCCAATTAGTAAAAAATCGTTTTTCTAGTAAATAATGAATTCTTTTGTAGAAAAACAGACCACAAATAGTTTCATATTCTTGTTAGTATTTTTTTTATTTAATTTTTTTTTTTAAACTTTTTAGCATTTTTTTTCATATAATTATTTTATTATATTGCCATTAAGCCTCAAAAAAGAATCCCTATACACTATAAAAATGTAACGGATTTATTAGAATTTTGAAATTCCGCTCAACTTTAAAACATGTGTTATTATTAATACTACTTTTATCAATGATTTGTTTTACATTCTATATTTATTATATTCATTACCTTTTATATATATTTTTTATTAATTATTTTATAATAATTTCAATATAAATATTATTTTATTTGAAGCAAAACTAATGGTTATATAAATTTAATTAAAAGAATAAACTTTTTATTATAATAAATACAAATTTATATTTGTATAACTAGCTCATTTGCCATTGGATAAGGTAAATAGTTAGTTATTATTCTGCCAATAGTAATGAGTAATTTTAACAATAAATGTGATTGGCAGTATAAGGTAGTAAAAATTGGTGATAAAAAAATTTTTATATCGACAAACTTTAATAATTGTCACGAAAATAAATGTATAAAAAAGTCTTAATATTAAGTTCATATAAAAACTAATTGTATTCGATATTTTGTTACCTCCGCTTCCCTTTCGGATTCAATTTCTTTAATAATACCCTCAACGATGTCCGCTTCCACTATTTTGAACCCATCAGTTCGAGAAATCCCAGCAACTTCAATATTTTTACTGTTCGACTGGACGACCTACAAAAAGTGTTAGAGTTTATATTTCTAAGAACTGAAAGAAATATGACTAAAAATCTAAGGAAAATGATAACTAACGAGCAGAGTACTTTAATTTGTTCTGAAAATTATTATTAAACCGCTCAATATTCATGTTTAAAACACGAGTCAATAAAAAAATCATTATATTTTCGTTAATAATTATAAGAAGTCATAAAATCGCCCAAGAAAAATTATCTCAAAAGCTATTTGTTGAAAAAAGAAAGCAAAATATGAACCAATAACACATAATAAAATTTTCAAATTCAGTTTTTATTTTTTAATTATCTTTTAGTTTTCATAATAATAAATATTAAAAAAACTTTTAAATGAATTCCATAAAAATATAAATAACACAGTTATATTCTTATATACTTTTTAAATATAAATAAATTGTAGTAACAAAATTATTTTTATTTGTGGTACCAACGTTAATGTATACCTACTATTTATTGTATTCCAGATAACTTTATTATGGTGACTTTATTTATATTTTTAAAAATTTTTTATTTAGATTAACTTTTTAAATATTTCCCTATTATTAAAGTAAATTTTTAAAAACTTTTTATTTATAAATTTATTATAACATTAAACTTTTTTTGCATTTTAACTTTTTAAATAACTTACTTCTGTTTAAATAAACTATTATTAATGTTTATTTTCAAATAATATAAAATATAAGAAAAGCTTATTAATAATTTTTAAATATATATAAAAAGGTATAAATAAAAATAGTTATGATAATAAGAATAAATAATATATAAATATAAATATCGTTATTATAAAAAATATTAAACTAATAATATTAATAAACTTATTTCTTAATTTATATTATATTTTCTTATTTACCATTATTTTTATACAAAAGATTTTTTTGATTACTTTATTACGTTTAAAAAATAAATAAAACTTTATATAAAAAGTATTATTAACTTCCAATAAAGACTTTATTGTAAGTTTAACGACTTCCTGATCGCTAGCAGAAACTTTTTCATTATAATTTTTCTCCAAAAACTCGCGAATCGTAGATGAGTTCGGACCAATAGCATTCGCCTGTAAAAGTTGATAGAAAAATAATGAATTATAAAAAAATGTAATTTTACTTTATATTTATTTATATATTAGAATAGTTATATTACATAATATATAAAAACTTAAAAAAAATATTATCATTCATTATAATATATAGTATTATTAAAATAAATATAAACTAAATAATATTAAAAAAAAATTGGCTAAAATATTTGTAATAAATCTTAGTAATATTTTTATTATAATACTTTTAATAAGCTCAATATTATATAATGACATTTCAAATGCTTACGAGAAAATTATCACTCCGCTCATTTTTCCAAGTAGAAAAATATAATATAATAGAAACCAATCGGAAAACATTTAATTCTTAAGAGGCAATGCTATTGGTGCGTGTGATAAGCGATAGTCTTTTTAATACTACTTTATACATACTGTAAATAAATGGGGCCCCTTTGTAAAGACTAAATATATGAAAGAGGGAAACCACGTGGATACTCTGCCGGGCGAATATATAAAAGGTTGTATTATTTTCCATATTGACAATGATGCTTATAATAAACGACCAATGAAAGCGGTACTTTTGCATGCAAACACAAACTCAAATGTGAAGACGCACACGTTTGCCTCTTCCAAAAATTTTCTGAGGGCCTTTTCAAAACTTCACAAAAAATTATAAAAAAATCAAAAAGCTCTAATTAAAGGTCCAAAATTCACACGTGGACGAATGAGCAAGTTTGTTATTAGATGGTTTTTTGTACACCACTTATGAGTAACAACGACACGAGGCAAAAAATAAAACCACGCGGGGAAAAGAGGATCGCCTATTGATTTTAAATAATATAAACCCACAAATAAAATTTTAATAAGTACAAAAATATATGAGCACTAGAAGTAAAAAAAACTACTCTAAATCAAATTATTATACATTAAAGAAAATAACATTAATAATGTATTACTTATAAGAAGATATTTTTTAATAAATAATAAAACTTTTATAATAATAATATATTTTAAACTTTTTGATAATAACTCAAAAAATTTTCTTATAAATATTTCACTACATTTTTGAAAAAATATAACAAATACTTATAAGTTTTTATTATTTCTCATAATAAATTTGACATAATAATATAATAAATGATTATTTTTCCGAATAATATAATTCTTATAAATTACTGAACAAAACTTTTACAAATTTTTATTATAAACATTTTTACAAATTTTACTTAATGAAGTTTATTTTTTTTTAATAATAATAAAAATACTTTTGCTGTTTACAAAATATATAATAATAATTATTATATACAAAATTAAAGAAAGTAAAAAGAAAATTTCGCTTAAATGGTAATAGTGAATAATTGATGACGAATTTTTAGAACATAATTTTTATAAAAAGTTAACCAAAACTTTTACGAGATAATAATATAAAATTTGCATTATTTTTATAATAATAATAATTATAGATAAACTATAAAATAACTTTTTTCATTTTTTATTATTATTAGAAAAACAATAAGTTGTTAATATATTATATAATTTATTGTTATATATTCTTATATATTAATATAGTCATTCACTTATTATTACCATAACAACTAAAAAAAGTTTTACTCTCAAAAAATTTATCCGTTTGTTACAAAGAAAATATTATAATTACTGTTGTGATAATAATAAAAAATATCATGAAAATATAATAAAATAAACAAATATTTAATATAATAATAGTAAGTAATTTCATTTCCGTTTCGCTTAGCATTAAAAATAAAATCCTCCATTATCAATATTTAGATTAATGAATCTAATTGGTTAATAGATCTCCTTATTCTTTTATTATTGGTCAATAAATACATATTAAATATAAAAACCTTCCATTCAGAGTGAGAGCCCGAAGGCTCAGTGGTAAACAATCGAGATCGCCCGTCCGAATCGAATCCTACAATCAACGTGGAGACGCCAAACGGCCGGACGCCACCGCTTTGGGTGTAACTCTAGTTAAAACGCAAAATAGTGACAAAAAATATAAATAATAATGAAAATATATAGTAGTAAGTAAAAAAAAATATAAAATATAAGTGACATTGATAAAAATGATAAAAATGAAAATATATAATAGCAACAAGTTAAAAGATATGATAGTAACATAATTATAGATATATTATAAAAATGTAATAAATAAATATGAAAAAAAAAAGATTTATAAATTAGATTAACAATTTCAATTAAAGTAATTATTAGTAAGAAAGTAAGAAACTTGAAAAATATATAAAACTATAATTAAACTTCAAGAAAAGAACTACTTATTAAGTAATAGCGATATGGATAATAAAATACTAATTATTTCTATTTTAATGGAAAATCCTTTAAATTTTTTATAAATTATATAAATAATTTCATAAACAACCTTCAAAAAAAATAGTAATTAACAAATATCGGTGATAAAAAAAATAAAATATTAATAAATAGTAATACAAACTTGTTGGATTCCTGAAATATGACGAGCTATATACTCCACTGAAGCGGAATCTTCCAAAGTAAGTTTGTGATTCTGGCACTCGAGTCGAGCCTTATTGGCTAATATCCGCCCGTCCGCCGTGAGGCCTTAAAAGTGTTTATTTTTTTAATTAAGGAAGTTAAAATTAAATTTTACTTAATTTCACTGAAAATTGAAATAAAAATTAACTCAATTTTTTTAAAAATATTATTAAGTTGTAACTTCAAATATAATAAATATAATCCTTGAAAGTTTTTAAAAAACCAATAATAATTTTAATTTACTGATTGTACATAAATTTTATATTTTAAAAAGAACAAAAAAAATTTTAAAATCAAATTTATTGATATTATTCTAATTGTACATAAAATTTTAAAAATAAAAGTTTTTGTAAAATAAAAAAATTGATTGTAAAATCTTTAAATTCAAAAAACTTTTTTGATCTTCTTTTGCTTTACAAATTGCGTAAAGAATATCTTTTTTAAATAAATTGAAAAAAATTAAACTAAAATTCATAATAAATATTTTTTTATTATTTGAAGGTATAAATATTATATTTCAAAAGAACAAATTATAAAATAAAAAAAAATTAATCCAATTCAACAATTAAAAGTAATTCTTAATAATAATTATCGATATTTAGTAAGTCCAGTTAATATCAAGATCTAATAAATTTATTTAAATTGTTAATCTAAAATAATATTTAATTTTAATGTAATTTAATTATTTAATCAATGCGAACTTTAAAATTTCATATTATACTAATATATATACTTTTATGTTTGTTAAAAAAAATTTAAATTTATTAAAAATATGTAAAAAAAATATAACTTTTTTTTAAATAAAACTTTTAAAATTATAAATTAACTTTAAAATTTTGGTTTCAAATATATATAAAAGTTTTCTTTAAATTTGTAATTAGTCTACTATAAGTATAAAAATATAAAAAACGAATTAAAACATAAAATTTGATGAAAATACAACTTAAAAAGTTTTTTTTGCTTTATTATTGTTCTTAATGAAAATAAAAAATTAAAAATTAATTTTAAAGTTTATGTATTCTTTAATATCTTTAATTAAAACTAAATTTAAATAATCTATAATAACTAAAGCTACTTGAATTTAAAAATAATTTTAAGTAAAAAAAAAAATTACCAGCAAAAGTCATACAAATGTGATCATCAAGTAAACAAATCTTCCGCACTGTTCGGGAATCCTGTAGTTTTGCAAGAGCTTTCTTTTCAATTCCAAGAGCACAAAGATTATTTCCACGAACAGCGACCTGTACGAGTAAAATTTAATTTAAAACTGTGACAAAACATGCAATATTATTAATAAAAAAATATATACGAACAGCATTATTTCCTTTACGAACGGCCTCCAACGCATATTCAACCTGAAATAAATGCCCATCAGGCGAGAAAATCGTTATCGCGCTATCATACCCAGACACCATCTTTATAACTATACAAAAAGTTAAAATAAAAATTAGAACAAACAGAAAATTAAATATTTGAACTACAGATATTTATCGAAAAAAAACTTCTCAAATGCTCATTTACATAGCGAATAAAATAATTAATAACTAAAGATATAAAGCTACCCAAACATAATTTAACCGAAAGTCAAGAGGTTTATTCAAAAAAGTAAAGGAGTACGTCTTCTTATTAAAGAAAACTTCTCAACTGTTTTATGCAAACTACTTAGAAAGTCAAAAGTTTTCTATATTTAAATAACTAAAGAGTACGTTTTTATAAAATACTTCAACTGCTTAAATACACGTTAAAATAAAGATATAATTACAGTAAAAGGTTATTGAACTATGCAAACAAAATTAATCCTAAAGTCAAAATGTTTATAAATTTAGATAACAAAGAAAATTTATGTAGAGGAAATCTTAACTGCTTAAATACACGGTCAATAGAATATATAACAAGTAAAAAGTTAAAAAACTATTATGTATAACCTTTTTTTTAAAAATAAAAATAATTACACTTTATTTAAAATTAAAAATGAGCTAAATACTAAAGGGAAGTTTCTATAAAAAAACTCACACTGCGAAAAGGTCAGGGTAAATCTAGTACAACGTTTAATAACGCGATAATATATTCACAAAAACAAAAGCTCACGTGGTTACACTTAAGGATCCTTTAACTCACTCTATCATTTTGTTAGTTTTTTATTTCTTTCTTTAATTTTCTCACCGTTATTTTTTTTAAAATCAAAGTTGAATTATTTATTAAAGCTTATAAAATACTAAAGAATTAATATTGTGATTTTTATATAAATAATTTAAATAATGCCTAAAGTTAAGCGTGAGAAATCGCTTTCACAACTTCGTTCAAGGGGTGCTTGACTTATTTTTATTATTATTATTTTAAGATATTTTTAAAAAATATAACGCTATTTCTAGGAGTTCAGCTTAACAAAGATTTGGGACAACACGTTTTAAAGAATCCTTTAGTGGCGAGAGGTAGTCAAATTGATTAAATTTCTTTTAACTCCTTTTGAAATTGGTATAGAAGAGGAATTTATATATAAATATTTTCTTTATGCCATCTTAACTAAATTATTAAAGTTATTATCTGTAATAATTTATTTTTCACTTATATATATTGTTAAATTATTTTATTTTATGATTTAATTTAACTGTTAACTTGTAAAATTCCAACGCTATAGTATAATTTTCTTCTCGTAGTTTTTTTGCCAAATTTTCATTTCTTTTATTTATTATTTTTTTACTTTTTTTTGATTGTTAAAATCTTGTTATTAATATATTTAAGTTCTTTATATTTTTTAATTTTTATTTGATCTTTAATTTAGTTTTATATATAATTTGCTAATAACTTTTTTTTCGGTTGTTTTTCTTATCTATATCAAACTTTATAACAAATAATTTGTAGCACTAAAATAGGGAAGCAAAATTTAATTTCTTTTAGATTTAAGATTCTATTTTATAGGTATTTGCGAGAAAGCAGGGATTCGCTCTTCCGATACAGTTTTAGAAATTGGTGCTGGCACTGGAAATATGACAATTTTATTACTGGAGTCCGCTAAAAAAGTTTCAATCTAAATCATTATGTAACTTTTATAAATTAACTTTTTATAAAAAGTTAATCGCTTGTGAGGTTGATCCTCGAATGGTTGCTGAAATTCAAAAACGTGTTCTTTCAACGTTTGCATTTTATTAATAATTTAATATAATTTTAATTTTTTTATGATTTTCATAATTTGTGTCTTTTTTTGCGTACAATTAGAAACATGTTTATTCACGTTTCCATTTTTTAAAAACCTATTTTTTATCTTACTTTTTTATAATTTAATTTTTTTGCCTAATTAAGAAAAATATATAGCCAACATCTGCTAATTATGTTTCATTAAATATATTTTTAAAGCGAATTTTTTATGACTTTATACTTTGTGTTTTTCTTAATAAATTCATTTTTGACTTTTGAGAAGTCCTCACGCAAGAAAGCTTGAAATCCTCGTCGGCGATGCCGTTAAAATTGAATTTCCTCCATTCGATGTTTGCGTTGCTAACGTGCCTTATCAAGTTCGTCTTGCTCGCTTTAGTATAATTTTCTTATGAATTTGTAAAATTTTCTTTTTGCGTAGATCTCTTCTCCTTTAATTTTTAAACTTCTTCTGCATCGGCCAGTTTTTAGGTTTTCCTTAATTTTTTTATTGAAATATTTTAAATTACTCTTTGGCTTCTATTTTATTTTTTATTTTTTATTTATAATTTTTAATTTTTTATACGTTTTATTTTTTAAACGCGTTGGCTTTTTAAATTGTAAATATCAAACTCGTTTTTTTTATTTTTTTATTTTAAATTTTTTTAAATTACTTTTCTTTATAGTTTCTAATTATTTTAAACAGGGTATTTGCACGGAATTTCTATAAAATTTATTAAAGTTATAATTTTTTTAAAAATATTTTTAAACATGGTGGTTTCCAATTTAATCTCTTTAAATTATAATTTTTGTAAACTATAATTATTTTTAATTTGTAATTTATTTGTAAAACCGATTTTTATTATATTTTACTTGAAATTTTTTTTAATTATAATTATTCTCAATTTTTAATTTCTGTAAGATGCGCAGTTCTTATGTTTCAGAGAGAATTTGCACTTCGGTTAGTCGCGCGGCCCGGCGATGCTCTTTACTGCCGATTGTCTGTGAATACTCAGCTGCTCTCGAAAGTCGAGCACGTTTTAAAAGTAAAGTTTATTAAAACATTAATTAAAGAAAATTACTTTTATTTATTAACATATAAAAAGAAATTTTTCATTTTTATTTGTAAGATTTAGTTTGATTTAAAGATATTATTAAATTTTATTTTGCTTAAAGATTTTTTATTTAGTATTGGTTACATTTAGTTTATATAAAGTTATTATTAAATTATATTGGCTTAAAGGTTTTAATTTAGTAAATTCAATCCCAGCAAGATTTAGTTTTTATAAGAAAGTCTTATCAAGTGCACTTTTGCTTTATATTATTGCTTAAAGATTTTTATTTAGTTTTAGATTAATTAAAAAGTTTATATTTATTATTTTTTGTTGATTGAAAAAAATATTTGTAAGATTTAGTTTTTATTTGAAGGTATTATTAACTTAGTATTTAGATTTAAAATTAATTCTAAAGTTTCATTTTTTATTTTTTGTGTTCTCCAAAAAATAATATTGATATTATAAATAAAGTTTGTTTCCGTAAAATTTATGTGAATTTAATTTTTATAAATTAATATTAATTTTTTTGCAAATTTTTAAAAATTAATTTATATATTTGTTTGTGTAGAAAAAGTATAGATAAACTTCTTGGTTCTTTTTTATTTTTAATTTGATGTTAAATTTTACTTATGTTATTATACATTAATGAATTTTTCTCTATAATTTTATAAGTTTTTCAAGTTTATAGTTTATATAAACTTTTTATTTTTCTGATTTAAAATTTATTATAAATTTTATAAAATTAACTTTTGTTTACTATTTTATAAAATAGTTTTTTATTTTTCAAAATTAAAAAGAAAATTTTTTTTAATTGATTTTATTTATTAAAAATATTATTATCCAAAATTATTATTATTTTTTATTACTATACTGAATATTTTTTTAAGTTTTTAATAAAAATAGTTATACGCAGTAATAAAGAAGGATTAAAAAAATAGAAGAAATAAAAAAAATACAAATATTATGTTGGAAGTAAAAGTAATAAAACTTTTTTTACTTTTTTTTTTACCTTTTTTTTGTTATTATATATTTAAACATTATTTATGTATAAAAACTCTTTAGTATTATTTTTATAAAAATTGGAATTTTTTTTCATAATTTTATAATTTTATAACTTTAGTCTATTTATATTTTTTACAAGTAATTTATTCTTGAAATTATCTTCTATTTAAAATTCTAACTTAACTTTTTTATGTTTCGTGTTTTAAAAATTTATTAATTAAAAATTTTTACCGTGAAAAAATAATTTTTTTACAGGTTGGTAAAAATAATTTCCGTCCCCCCCCGCGCGTCGAGTCCAGCGTGGTTAGACTCGAGCCTCGCTATCCACCTCCACCTATTAATTTCCAAGTAGTCCTTATAAATTTTTAAAATTTTAATATTATTATAGAATTATTTTTAATTTATGTTTAATTACTAATTTTTAGTACGTAAATTGCAGTTATTTTAATTGTTTACGCATTTAATAATTAATTTAATTCTTTTTTAATTTACCTTATAATTTTTGTACCTTGAGTGAATATATATCTGCGTACAGCGCTTGTTTGTTGGGCACGTTGTTTTTGATTTCCTGTTACTTTTTAGAAACTAAAAAATTTGAATTTATTTTTTAGCAATAATTAATTTTTATAAATTTCATTTAATTTTTTTTTATATCTAAAAAAGTTTATTTTTATAATTCAAAGGAATGGGACGGCCTTTTACGAATTGCTTTTTTGAGGAAAAGTAAAACTTTGTCTGCTTTGTTTAAATTAAATCCTGTTGTTGCGCTCATTGAAAAAAATTATAAGATTCTATTATCCCTACAAGAAAAGGTGTTAGCAATTTTAGGCTTTTTGAATCTTTTCAAATTTTTTTTGTTTTAGGAACTGCCTGTTGATTTTAATGTAAAAGAAGAGCTACTAAAAGTTTTAGAAAAGAACCTTTTTTCTGAAAAACGAGCTCGAAATCTTGACGTGGATGATTTTTTAAGGCGCTTATTTATATATATGTAATAATTTTTTTAAAAAAATTATAATTTTTTTTTACAGACTGCTGAAATGTTTAAACGATGCCGGTTTCCACTTTGCTTAAATGTATAAAAATTTTTTTAGTTTATTCACAATATCTTAAATTTAGTAGTATTTTTCTATTTTTAAGGCTCCTTAAAAAATAATTCTGTATATGCCTCGGCTTATTATGTCAGGAGTGTTTAATACATATTAAATTTAGTTTTAGTTAAAAACAATTCTAAATTTTGATAGTGTAGAATACGATTATAATATTTCTTTAAATAAAATATACTAAAAAATTTCATTTTAATTTCAAATAAAAGCAATAAATCCGATCACTTTAGGATTGCAAAAATAACAGTTTATATGTTACGAAGCGAAATGCACACTCTTTTCAGTTTTCTTGCTAGAAGCAAGTAAAATGTAAAAAAGAGCTTTAGTGGAAGCTGTATGAGGAAGTCGCATTTATTATGTAATAACTGAAAAATTGTAGAAAGAAAGTGAAATGAATAAAAATGCTAAAAGGCTTTTAACTTGCGGATTTAGCTTAACTTACAATAAATCTCTTTTAGAAATTTTTTAGCATACGAGATTTGCGTGCTAATCAGCAGTAAGAATTTTCCAGCACTTCGAGTACAGCTGTGAAAATGTTACCAGTATTAGTTTTTGTTCTTCTTTAAAAACTTACTGCACTGTTGCTCAACAGTAACGACTTACAAACTTCGAGTACAGTTTTAAAAAAAATTTCGGTAGTTTCAATTCATCTTCAAAAACTTATAAAGCCTGATTATTATTAGTAATCACTTACCAACTCTAAATGCAGTAGTGAAATTACACCGGTTTTAGCTTGAGTTCTTCTCTATAACTCACTGAACAACCATTAACGAAATTTAGAACAGTTGTGGATATATTTACGTATTTATTTTCAAATATTTAAAATAACTCACTGAGCCGGCTGTCTTTTACTTTTAAGGTCGCATATATTCAAGAATTTATACAGCCAATCTTTCTCTCCCTCAATCTTTTTAATACTTTCTTTAATCAGTTTAAGCGAGTGCATTCAAGTCAACCACTGAAGATTTAAGGCAATAAAGAATAACTTCTTTTATTTTAGTTTTCAAATTTTTTTGCAGTTTTAGTTGTGCTTAACTCCAACCAATTCTTAGACTTTTAGAAATAGTATTATACGCTCAATTCTTAACACTTCAGGATAGACGTTTGTGCAAAAGTATTGTTTCCTTCTATCATTAAAGTAATTAACCTTCCTGTAAATTAAGTGCATTCCACTTTTTAATTCGTTAAAACAGTCGAATATACCCCTTTTTGATGAGGCTACGCTCACATATGTAAATTGTTACTGTTAGTTACAAAGGCGATTTTAAATATGAAATTAATATATTATAGAGCGAAGATTTTACTTTATTAACCCATAATTATTTACAGCGACTTTTTTAACAGTTAAAGAAGAGCTTATATAAATTCATTACCAAATGGAAGCTGGTTTTAATAACTGTATAACTTTAATTATCTTTTACTTAGCGTCCAAGCCACATATATTTCTCTTATTTCTTTATAGCAAGTGACAACTAATAGGTTACTAACCTTGCGTGTAGCTATTGTCACAGCAGTAGAATTTCTTTTATCAATGAATATAAAAAAATAAAGTATAGTAAATAAAATAAATATAAAGGAGGCCCTTTCTAAAAATTTCAACAAATTAATCTCACCATCCAATTATTTTTTAAGGTTTAAAATTTACTCAATCAGCATCTTCTTTGAAACATAAACATAGGGATATCTAAGTGAGTGGTTAAACTTGGAATTTGCATTTGTTATTTTTTGTTTAATTTCGTAAAGTATATAGAAAGACTAATAGTAGTGAATAGGTGAGGGCTCCCCTCTTGGTGAAGTGCTCATCGTCGGGAAGGCCTGGCTGGCGGGTGACCGGGCCCGATGTTTTTCGCTCTTTCGGTTCTTCGGGACAGTCCTTTTAGCCCACTAAATAGCGTACATTGGTGGGCACTCATGCCACAATCCCTGCAGTAAAGGGAATTCAGCGATTTAAGGTCTGAAGAAGACCGGTTATGCCAGTGAAGAAAAAAGGAAAAAAATAAATGGGTAAAGCCTTTGGTCTCGCACAGTCCTCTTGCCGTTTTTGGATGTAAACTGTGCACCTTGAGTGCTTTTTACTTACGGTTGACAGTCTTGTTAGAGCTTATATAATATTATTTTTTATTATTACTCATAATAATAATAGTAATTTTTTCGTTATAACCTCTTTTCTCTTCATTTATCTTATTTATCTACGTTTTATCTGTTTTAAAAATGAGTCCCACCACTGAAGAAGAGCTGCGAACCTTGGATTGCTAACTTATTAGCTGTTAACGAAGAACTCAGAAGAGTTAGACCCAACGAAAGCTAAATTTATTGAGCACATAAAAACTACTCTGGAGAAACTCTAAAGTTTAAAAGGCGAAAGGAGCTTTTTGATATGTTGACTAATAATATTTTTTACCCGACTTTACGAATTCTAGGTCAGCCACAGACTTTTGAAATATTAGAGAAAAGCGAGAACTTACAGCAAACTAAAAACGAAACGCTTAACGGTAAACTAGGTTTTGGTAGTGATAGTAGTAGTAGTGGTAGTAATATTATTACTTCTCATAATAGCGTTCCTATTAACTATATAGCTGAGAGCGACCACACTATTAGTAATAATAAATTAAGTAGAGGTAAAAATATATTAGTAATAATCATGGTGGTAATATAATTTATAATAGCTTAAATAGAGTTAGTGGGCATGGTGAAATCTACGGAAACTTGGAAAAGCCCGTAAAAGCTTTACAGCACAGCGTTAACGTTGAGATGGGTAGCGCCTCTGGCACTGCTCCTAAAAAAAAATGAACAATCTATTGAAACGATCTCCCAAAGGAAAGATATCACTGTTACTCTATGCGATGAACAAAAGTGACCCTTAGTAGTTCAACTTTTGCAAACCTCCGGCGTAAATATCCCCCAATCAAGAGATATCTTTTTGGAATCAAGCCATTTCTCATGACAGCTAACGACTACCGCTCTGTAACAGAGATCATGCGAGCTCAGGAATTTCAATTCATTACATATCAACTACCTGAAGAAAGGCCTTTGAAATTTGTCCTCCGTGGGGTTTACTGTGAACCCTATCTTTCGACCGTTGAGGAGGATTTGCGCGCTCAGGGCGTCACACCCCTTCGAGTTGCGCGAATTCACACGGAGGACATTTTAAATGGCGAACGTAAGAAGCCTTCGTTACCATCAGTTTTAGTACATATACCCAGGATTGAGAGTCCAAAAGTTTTTAGAACTGAAGACTCTCTCTTATCTTCAAAATCGAGTGATGAAACTTCGAAAAAGTATTTGCGTTGACCAGTGTCATCGTTGTCAGATCTTTGGGCACACTGCAAGCTTTTGCACTTCGGATCCCCGATGCGTTAAATGTGGCAAGGGCCACTTGACACCCTTATGCACGAAAGCACGAGATATTCCTGCTGCTTGTGCAAATTGCGGTGAAGCGCACACCGCTAATTATCAAGGCTGCAATACCATCCGCGGTGTCCAGTCAGGTTACCCGCAAAGTCCACTCCCTCGGTGCTCATTCCGTTACTCCGGAGGTGCGCCCCGTGTGAGGACAAAAACTCATCAAAACTCGCCCACTATTCCGTCAGTTTCTAAAGCTCCGGGCTACGCTTCTACTGCGAAAACTGATCAGCAACAGCAACGACCCCAGCCGACTTTACGGCAGCTGTTAGTAATTTAACGACGAATTTATGCAGCATTCTTGAAACTGTAAAAGGATTAGAATCTATTTGCAATGGTTTCTAAACCAAAGACGCGTCGCTACACCACCCGCCCTTTTACCAACCAAATGGGACAGATATACTGAGTTTTTAGAGACCATCTCTCCTGCCGTGTCCTTCCCTACCGTTTACCCCCCCCCCCTGCTGTATGGTACTGTCGCTTTACCCGAAAGCGTACTAAGCATGGCCCGCATTACTGCCGCGACAAGTCATGGAGTAACTTACCGTCCCAATCACCTGCCTGAAGAACTAAAGGCAATTACTTGCCTACGTTGCCGTCTTATTCGAGTGGTCATTTTGTCGCAGAGTGCCTAAGACAAACTTGCGCTTAATCGACTGTACAGGTGCATAAGAAAGAAGCTGACCCATTTTAATAATAAATGGGAGGAGGTCAAGCTGCACCATATGTTCGAATCAGGCAGCAGCAACCGATCAAGAATTGGGGACTTGCATCACTACCACCTCTTCGTGGAGGTAACATAGTGGTCGAGAGGGAGTGATGAAGACAAAGGCACGCTTTTTTCTAATCTCCTTGCTATCCAAAAGCTGACCGCTTACTGCTAAGGATGCGCGCCCTCAGCTGAGCTTACCCCCTCCCCGTTGCCCACGAACCCCTAGAGCTGGTTAATGTTAGCGAGGTTCATGCAATTGTCGAAGAACTACCCAAACGAAAAGCGCCTGGTCCCGACGGCATCACTAAGGAGATGCTGAAGAAATTGACATTAACAGGGATGCATTATCTGTGCTTCCTAGTTAAATCTGCGATGGTTCTTGGCGCCTTTCCAGCCCGAGGGAAGACGGTGGCCGTTGCGACGCAGCCATAGACACTTGAACTGGAAAATCAGCAACTAGTAAGTACCGACCCGTCAGCCTCCTGTCAGCGTTCGGCAAGTTGGGTGAGACCATTTTACTGTGCCGTTTAAAAGAGGCCGTCGTTGACGCTCTGAACACCTTGCCAGAGTTTCAGTTTGAGTTTCGGCAAGGCACTCAACAATCCAGCAGCCCCTCCGTTTAACTGAATGGAACATTCTCGCTTTTAACTTTAAGAAGGTAACAGTAGCTCTCTTGCTTGAGGTTGAAAAAGCATTTGAACAAGTTTAGCATGAAGGTCTGCTGCGCTAACTGCGCTTGTTATCCGTTCCTCATGGACTTTGCAACGTGCTGAAGTTATAAATAAATGGCCGCGCCTTCAGCGTGCCCGTGTGAGGTACACAGTCGCCTCTGCGCTCCCCGACAGCAGGGGCCCTCGGGGGTCTCTTTCGCCCCTTTAATTTTGCAATTTATATGAGCGAAGCGCGCTTGCAAGAAATTCGTGTACACGTATCGCCCTCTACACCAATGATACGGTCATTTACTATTCGTCGAAGTCTCCCACCTTTCTACGCAAGCATCTACAGCGCTGTCCTAACGCCCTTGCTGACTGGTGCCGTAATTGGAAAGTTTCTATAAATACGGTGAAGAGCAAAGCGCGTTTAGTACTAAGATACCCGTTCCCTTGTTGGTCCCCTTAACCTCTGATGGGGTGAAGAGTCCGTGGTGTTTTCAACAGCGAAGTACATGGGAATCATCATTGACAACAAACTTTCTTGGCAGCCGCGCGTAGACTACCCAGTGGCTAGGGTCAAGGCAACAACTAAAGCTCTTTACCCTTTACTATGCAGCAAGAGCGAGCTTTTTCTGCGAGACAGATTGTATTTATCTTACATCCAGCCATAAATGACATACGTATCTGCTGCCCGGGTCTATGATTCCACTGCAATAGCGTGGGCACTTCAAGTGCCATATGACACAATGTTTCGCGTGATGACAAACGCCTTGGTTTGTTCGAAATGAAGCTCTTCACAGGGCCCTTCAATGGGGCCCTTTAGACTTCGTCTTCCAACGTAATGCCAATGCCCTTTATCGACAGGTTAATCAGTCACACTAATCGCCAGAGGGTGAGTGAACTATTTACCAATCATGGGACGGGCACGTTATCGCCGCCTACGTGACGCGCGTAAGCACTATTTTTTTTTTGTTAATATCAAAAAAATAATGACACCTTTTTGATTAAAAGCTACTTTGTAACATGTCTGCGATAACTCCTGATTGAGAGCTCGAGTATTCGAAGTTTTTTGACTCAATTGAGTACCAGGAACTGTATTTATAAATAAATAAATGGGTAACAGGTTTTTACTCATTTATTTCTTTTCTTTTATACTTCTTTTGCCTTTTATTACCCTCCGCTATCGCCTTTGCTCGTCGTGCTATGCAAGCGGGACGCCGAATACACCACATTCAGCTACGAGTCTTCAAAAGACCTTCATTATTACAGCAACAACTACAATGCTATTATAAAAGCACTTGCTAACTGATGCCAGCGGTGAAGGGGTAACTATTAATGCAGAGAAAAGAGAGCAAATGCTTTTTAAGAAGGCGCACCTCAGTAATAATATAGTGCGTTATCATTGTTAGTCCGCTAACTTAGCGATGACACGTCAAATACGTTGCGCCCAAACCAATGCGATAACCTACGCACCCTTCCCTCTGCTGTATGCAAAAAGCGCTGCTTCTGCGAAATAAACTGCTCTTATATAAATGATGTGTTCTCACTATATTATGACTTAAGTACTTGATTGCTTAAGCACACGACAAACCATTTATAGTACTGCTCCTTAAACCCCGGGAAAACAAGCTTCCGCGGCATACGACTGGGGACCTAACTTGTTCTTTTGATAAAATACCCATTAATGCTTCTGTGTCAACAATTGTCTCAAAAACTTACATATGGAGCGCTTCCCACTGTTAGCGTAAGCAATTCGTTCCGTCTGATTTAAAGTCAAATTGCTAGAAGAGCGGTAATACCGCGAGGGAATCATCACGCTGTACCTGAAATGCGACTACTTTTGGAAAATGTGTTCGCACTCCCTATTTATAGAAGGGTCGAAATTGAAGTTTGTTGAGTTGCTCGACCCTCTGGAAATTGCCAATTGTAATAAGTTTAGTAGAGCCTTATTTTTGTCAAAAATTTAAGAGCATGGGCTTCTGCTTTTAGCCGCTCTTATAAAGTCATTTTAAATAAAGTTGTGCAATATTTTCTGTACTGCTATTTTGTAAGCTTTTTATTAATAATATACTTTTTTTTTGGTGTTTTAAGTTATTTAACTCGTGGAGTGTGGAGTTGTTAAACATATATGAAACCTTTATATTGACATGCTGATGCATTTTGTTAGGGCAATAAGAAGTTGAAATAACTTTTTTTTAAGTTTTAAAGTTTTTAAAAGTAATAATAATGAATGCCTCTTTTTCTATTTCTTCCGAAGAAGAAATAAGTGTAAGTACTTCTGAGGATCCTTTAGATGGTATAAGTTTAATTTTTTATCTTTTATTATTTATCTTTTTTTTCTGTACATTACCTACCTTTTAGATTCTCTCCTTGATTACTCCATTAAAGATTCATTTGACGACTTCGAGTTTTTTCAGAAAAAAAGGGATTTAGGCTATGAAGTTTTGTCTTCAGCTGATTTGATTTCTGCTCAAGCTAAAATCATTGAAGAAGTCAACAATATATTTCAAATACCATTTTATTCTGCAAAAACACTTTTACAACATTTTAAGTGGGAAAAAGAGTTGCTTTTAGAAAAATATTATGACAATCCTGAGGCAACGTTCTTGGAGGCAGGCGTCGTTAATCCTTTTTCTCGCAACAATAATATTGTTCAAGACGACCAAAGTAGTTCTTCTCTCGTTGAAAAAACAACAAACACCTTTATTACTCAATTTGAATCTTTAGAATGTGGTATTTGCTTTTCTTTAGTGGTAAGAAAATCTTTGTACTTTCTGGGCTGTGGTCACTACTTTTGTGTTGACTGTTGGAATGCTTATCTTGAAGTTAAGATTGTTGAAGAAGGCGTCTCCCAACTAATTCGTTGCCCGCAATCTTCTTGTTCTATAATAGTCGACGAAAAAACTGTTTTTAAATTACTTTTATCCGAAGAAGTCAAGAAAAAGTATGAAATGTTTATAGCTAATAGTTACGTTTCAGAAAGCAGGCATCTCCGTTGGTGCCCTGCTCAGAAATGTGACAATGTTATAAAGGTTGACTTGTGTTTTTTTAAATAAGGGATATAACCTTGAGTTTACTATCCTCTTTCTAAATTTGTTTGTCCTAAATTGTAAAAATTCAAAATTATTTTTATCTTAAATTACCTCTCGAGTTATTTGACTCTTATTATATGTTCTTGTTAACTGTAAAAATTAAAAAAATATTTTTTTTGATCTTAATTTCTACTTTCTTAAGTTAATCTTATTACTTCGTAAAAATTAAATAAATTTTTAAGCTTTAATTTTACTTTTTTTAAGTTAAGCATATTGCGTCTATGAATCTTTCTTTATTTAAGGTTACTATAGTGGAGCCCCAGTGTGTAACCTGCACCTGCGGGCATACTTTTTGCTTCAGCTGTGGAGAGGGAGATCACCGACCTTTGACTTGTGATTTGCTTAAACGCTGGCTAAAGAAGTGTGCAGACGATAGTGAAACTGCCAACTGGATCAACGCGTACACCAAAGAATGTCCAAATTGTAAAGCTGTAGTAGAAAAGAATGGAGGCTGCAACCATATGGTGTGCAGAAATTCTAATTGTAGGTCCGTCAACTAACTTTTATAAAATAAGTATATATCCAATCGTAAGGTAAGAATTTTCTATTACACGGCAGTTATGAATACTGCTGGGTCTGCTTGGGTCCTTGGAAAGAACACGGCACGCAGTGGTATAAATGCAACCGCTACGTTGAAAGCGAAAGTTGCGAGGCGCGATCTCGGCAAGATCAGTCCCGGGAACTACTTAGACGATATCTTCATTATTTCCAACGTTATACAAACCACGAAAATAGCCTTAAAAAAGAAGAAACTTTACAAAAAAGTGTTGGCGATTTAATGCTGGCGATGCAACACCAGCAGATGAGTTGGATTGAAGTTCAATGTATTCAAAAAGCTGTCGAAATTCTTATAAAGTGCCGCAAAACACTGACTTTTACTTATGTTTTTGCCTATTATTTGATCTCATCAAATCAAACAATTATTTTTGAAGACAATCAGAGAGATTTAGAAGTAGCCACAGAAGAGCTTTCTTTTTTACTAGAAAAGGAACATTGCTTAGAAGGCGAGGACGGGCCGCCTTACACCGCCTATTATTCGGATTTTAAAAAAAATGTTCTGGATAAGAGTAATCTGTGCAATCGGAGGTGTGATATTTTACTCGGGCACGTGCAAGAGGGTTATGATCAAAATTATTGGAACTTTTCTAGTCAAGATAATATATACCCGACTAAAATAAATTAATAATAACTTTTTATATTAACAGAAAATCACTGTTGAAAAAAAAAGCTGAGCTTAAGCAAACTATCATAACTGTATGCCTCAGTTAACAAGATGAGCCCAATTACATAGCAATTCTACCTAGAAAAAAAAAAAGGTTGGCGGCGTATTATTCAGAACAGTATATATATGTATGATTATACTTTTTTTTTAATATTTTGCGTGTGTACGTGTGTATGTAAATTGCACAGACGGCACGCTTCGTCGGCACGTAGCCTCTCAACATGGAGTTTGTCAATTACTACTTCCTTTGTTTTTAAACTAATTTATTTACTATATTTGACTATATCAGTCAACAATTCTAAAAAGGACTTGCACGCATAGAAAGAAATTAGGTTAATTATATGTTTCTTTCTATTAAACTGTCGGCTAAAGACACGGAAGGAACCGTATAACAAGACATATAGGAATAAGGTCAATAAATATAAAATAGTAGAAGATAAAAAAGAAAAGTTATTAAGGTTAACAAAATAACTGCTGTTTGCGCGTTATGTGGTACTTTAACGCTCTATATTTGTAACAATGCTGTTCCATGGAAACCAACTACTTCAGACGTGAGCCCAGTCTAGCAATTCAATAAAACCGTTTTTTTATCTTATAAGCATTCACACCAATCCATACAATACCTATAAACTTACAGGCCTCCAACTTATACCCATTAAAAAAAATACATATTTTCTTTGTTATAAAAAATTATACAATGTTGTAGTGCTAGGACTATTTCGACAGCGACAGTATTATCATGTACTAAAAGCCTATCTAATTCTCCAGTGAAAAGAGAGTTATATCAGTAAAATTCTTTTAATCCAAAGGCACATTGGGTAAGGGCTTAAAAAAAAGAGTTTATGTTATATGCTTTATGATAGTAAACTATTGAAAAAGAACTTAAGAATATGAACTTACACTACTGTAGCCCACTCTCGGAAAACTATTTACTAATCTCTTATTAAATATAATAATTCTCTTGCAGCTATGAAATTAAAGTCTTACGCTGTGCATAAGCTCCTGAAAACTTACTAAATGCCGCCTAAAAATAAAATTGTTTACCATTAGTAAGATAAATTTTAAAAGCCTTCAAGAATTAGCTTTGCACGAATTATTAATAATATTAAGTAAAGAAGGTTAAGACTTTTTAGCACAACAGTATCATGAATAGCATTGTAGTGATGCAACCAACGTTTAAGAAAAGGCTCTCTTTAGTCTTGCTGATCTTGTGGAGAAAAAACTTCCTAACTTAATAAACTGCGCAGCTAGTGAACTATTAGCTAAAAACCAACATCAGGCTATAAAATATTTAAGAATAAAATACTGAAGTTCTTTAAAACCTTGATTAGCAATTGACAGTTAAGCTTATACTTTGTACCTACGAAAGCTACTATGGTCTAGTTGAAAAAAACTTTTATTATTTTGAAATTACGTTCCGTTAAATACATAGCTATTACAAAAAAGTAGACTTCACCGATATTGTTATATGAGACACGAATATTTGCCGTTAAGCTTTGCACAACCTATAAATAAAAATTTTTACTAAAGCTAGAAATTTTGGAAAAACTATTATTAAGACTAGAGGTTATAAATCTTTTATAAGGAGGTCTTAAGTGTTATATTGCTCCTTGGATTTCACGTAGAATTTATTCAATTACAAGTATAAAGAAATAACAAGCTAGTTAATGGTGCTTTCTTGCTCAAGTTCGACGTTATCTCATTAATTTTATAAAGTAAAATATTAATACTCTGGGTACAGTTCCATAAAGTCTAGGCATAGAGAACCAAGTTTTGAGTAGGCATCTTCTAAACCTCCTTTAATAAGTTTTTCCACAACTTTACCAACTCCAATAATATGTATTGCAACTCTTGCATGGCAAACCTTATTATTTCATAGGGAAAGTATATCGTTAAAAGAATTATATAAAAGTTTTTATAAGTAATTTGAATTAAAAGAAATTTTAAAGATAACTTGTGAACAAGAGCATCCATCCTTTTCGATATTAGTTTCTAAAAACGTTCTTGTTTGTATTTCAACTTTGTCGGAGAATACGGAAGGCTCCGTCACGCAATTAAATTCATAACTACTTGGTGAATAGGAAATATAATCTGTGAAATGCAATTTTTCCAAGTCATCTTTTATTTGTCAAGAAAAAATATTTTATTAATAATATTTTTTAGCTATTTTCTTTTATAAAAGCTTAATGAAAATCTATTAATTATATATACTTAGAAGAAATTTCGGAAAGTTTGAAAGATCAAGATGTGTTTCAACTTTCTGAAAAATTAGCTTTCCGTTAGGAGTAGTTTTACTCTCTACTAGAACTTTTCTATTATTGGCAATTTTACTTTCTAATTTATAAAATTCTGGTGTAGCTCTATTAATAATAAGGTAAATATAATGTCGACGTTATATACGTATGGGTACAAGCGAAGTAGGGCACCTGATTTTCCAATAAACTGAGGGAGGCAGTGGTATCTTGCAAGAGACATTTATATTCAGCATTATAGTGCATAAATTTCTAGAATTAAGCTTCTCTTTACTTATTACTTTTGTCACTTATTTTTAAAAAATTTTAACTTCAATACTAGTTAAAAGAACTTTTAAAAAATTTATTTTACAAATATTTAATGTTTAATAAATTAGGGTTTATAAGTAAATTAATCTCTCCGTAAACAAAACTATTTAAATAGCTGATTGGTTAAATATCACAGGTTTAAAACGAATTACCATATTCTGCTGTGTTTTATCCTTTAACTGAATCCGTAATTGGAAATTTTAAATACAAATGCACGAAGCTAAGATTGTGAAGTATTTGTGGCCAGTTTCCGTTATAGCAGGTAGTTAGTAAGGCCTGGCTAGAAGTACTACGAGGCCACTGCCTTCTGGAGGCCTCGGTGCTGAAGACGGTCACGTTTAAGCCTTTTATTTGTCGCTGTTTAACCCTTGAAACAGCTACTATACATTTGTGCATTCTTGCTTAAACCTCTCTCCAAGTAGACTGACTTAAGTTAGCCGGTGTAAGCACACCTGTGGTTTCTAGGTTTCAAATACGGGGGATATTGGAAGAAGGACGATGTTTAATCACTCCTATCGTTAGGGAAATTCGAACGGTTTCCTTTAATTTTACTAATTAAATAACTGTAATAACAGTATGATGCATATAAAAGTAACAACACAATTCGCAGAGTGCTAAAAAAAAAAGTAGCTATATAATTTAGCCAATTATGATGAATAGATCATGTCACTAATTCAGTAAGTTATTTATGTACAGTTTTAAAGAATAATTCAGTAAGTTATTTATGTACAGTTTTAAAGAATGTAATTTGTTTGTGGCAAAGCATTATTCACTTTAATTGAAGATATTAATTCATTAACCATAGAACACAAACAGTTTGAAGGATTGTGAAAAAAATTTTTAGTTAAAAGAAAATATACATTTCGTTTGAAAAAACAAGCTAAAAACGATTTAAAACGCAGAAGTTAGTTCTCTCGAATAAGAACTATTTTAAAAATTGTAAAAATGGTCCGTTTGTTCTAAGTAGCAAGTCTATTAGTTTGTATCATTATTAAAAGAAATTATAGCGTTCACCTTCAGTTCTTCGTAACTAAACTTCTAGGGCAGTTTTTAAAAGAATATTTCTTAAGTTAGACAAAGCTTTAATTGGAGGATAATTTGCTTTATTATATTCATTGGAACGGTAATTACTGTAATCTTACTGCGTAAAAAAATCACTTCGTTTCAGGCAATCCATAATAACCTAAAAAATCTTGAAAAGTAATTTCAGAGCCGACTGTTATTGGTTCTAAAAAAAAAAAAAATCAAGGAAAGAATTTTTAATATTTTGTGAGCTTACATCTTAAAGGAATCTTTTATTACCGGGTTAAGCCAAGAAATTAAAGTTATTAAGATAAAATATATTAAAAGTAAGACAAGTTATTACCCAATAAAATGCATCTATACTCCAAAGTTAAAAGAAAAGAAAAGCCGATAAATATTAAACTAACTCATATTGTATAATAGAATTTGGGCTACATTTTATTGTACAAGGTTTATTATTTATTTAAATTTTAGCAGGTTGGTGATAAAAGTCTTGAGTCGTAGTCGTATGAAGTCTTGTTTGCATTCATAATTTTTTTTTTTTGGCTGGTGAATAAAGAAAACCGCTCTTTTATATTACTATGTTAAAAATGAGCTCGATAATCGAGATCAAGCTTCCACTATTTCTTAAAAAAAAATTACTAAAGTTTCTTTCAGTAATTTTATTTAATAGCCCGACAATTGACGCTCTAATTAAATAGCGCTAACTAACTGGCACTAACAGTAAAGTTGAATTGTGTTATTAAATTTCATCATTGGTGCACTGCCGAGAGCTAATTTAATAGTTTAGCCTTAATACATTAAAAGCATTGTTTACTAAAGATGTAGTCTTAATTAGCCTTTCCCCATATTTTTAACTAAATACTTTAATTTAAAAATATTATGTTGGCATATTAAATAATAATAAACTAAATACTTATCAATAAGTAATTATTTTTTTTTTAGAAAAAATTGTACTACTTTTAAGCAACAATCTGTCAAGTGATTTGTGGAGAAGCCATGCTGGGGGTTTATAGAGTCCATACCAAATAAATTTGATGGGTAACTTTTTAGCCAGTATAGAAGGTAAAAGGCTGTATCATACGTTTAATTGCATCTTTTAATTAATCGGCTGTCATTAGTGAATAAAACTTAAAAACTTTCCACTTGTCATTTCGCGTTGCCATTTTTTCTTTTGGCTTCTTACTGCTTGCTTATTGTTTTATAAGGTGTGTTACGTGTTATATGTATACAATTATATGTAAATCGTTGAAGACTGCCGTAGTATAAAACTTTAAATTTTATTTTTTTTTAAGGGCATTTTACTCCCACATTATTGTGTTCTTTGAACTTAATGGAATTAATGACTTGTTTAACTTAATATAACTTATTAGTTCATTAAAAATGGCGGCCACCATTAGAAAAAAAATTGTCATTGTTGGTGATGGTGCCTGTGGAAAAACTTGTCTTCTTTTTGTTTTTTCAAAAAAACAGGTTTTTTACTTCTGCTCCATTTTTTTACTGTAGAAAATTGTTAAAAGGGTTTTCTTTAAAGTTTAAAAATAAACTTATTACAAGAAAGTTAAAGTTGCATGACGTATAACTATAACTTTGTGTTAGTTTCCTGAGGAGTACGTCCCTACCGTTTTTGAGAATTACGTTGCGGATATAGAAGTTGATAATCGGAAAGTAGAACTTGCTTTATGGGACACGGCTGGGCAAGAAGATTATGATCGACTTCGTCCATTGTCTTACCCTGATACTGGTCGTGTATACTTCTCCTTTACAAAAAAAATTACTTTATATAATTTTGTTAATTCACACATTTTTTATGGGGTTAAACTTGTAGCATCCACTTCTATTTTACACTAAGTAATGAGACTGTTCAATCACGTTCTAACTCTATTTTTTTTCTATTTTCGTTATAGTAAGTTTATGATATTAACTTTCCTCTAGATGTTGTCTTAATGTGCTTTAGCATGGATAGTCCCGATAGTTTGGATAACATCACAGACAAGTGGGTCCCTGAGGTGAGGCATTTTTGCCCTAACGTTCCCGTCCTGCTGCTTGGTTTAAAGATGGATGTTCGAGAAGATGAAAAAGTCAGTGCGGAACTAGCAAAAACAAATCAGAAAGTTATCACTCCGGAGCAGGGACGCCAAGTGGCGGATGTCATTAAAGCTCACGACTACATCGAGTGTTCAGCTAAACAGAACATAAATGTCGAAAAAGTTTTTATAGAAGCCACACGCTGTGCCTTGGCCCGTCCAAAAATTTCCCAAAAGAAAAAGTGTTTGCTTTTATAAAAAAGATTAAAAAGTTGGGGCGAACGGTTTTTTAAAAACCTTGCAGACTAGTTTATTTTTCGGTTGGACCTTTAAGATTACCATTAAAAAAGTTATTATGATTTTTATATTTTAAGTATAAATAAAGATTTTTTAATAAATTATTATGCTTAAGCTGATTTAATAAATAGCACAGTTATATTAATTGCTTTAAACTTTGACAGGCGCTTCTAAGTGAGTTCCTTCTTCATGTTGCATCTTTAGTAAGAACAGTTAAATTATCTTTTTAAAAATTAAAATTTACTGCTTATTCTTCTAAAACCAAAAAGATATGATAGCTTAATATATCTTTATAATAGTAATAAATAGTTATAAACTTTATTCATCAAGAATTTATATTGCATTAGTCAATGTTTATTTTTGGCTCGTTGGAAATTTTTTTATGTTCATAGCGAAGTTGTGTAACAGTCAGCACGCACTTGGGGGTGTTATGTACTATAGTTTCAGAAAAACTAAAACATGTTAATACTTAAAAAATCTTTAGAGCCTGATCTTTACAAAGGAGGTTATCGAGCAATTTTTAAATAAAAACCGTCAATACGCACCCGTCGAGCTTACCCAATTACGACGATAAACTGAACACTAGTAATAGCACTACTATTACTAATGTTAGCATTAGTAACGATAATAAATATAATGATAAAGATTGAAAATATTTTTAACACCTTTTGTATAATACTTTGATAATTACTTAGTTTTACTAATTTATTATATATCTAATTAATTTTGCTTTTTACTACCTAGTTACTGTAAGGTCCCCCTCTGCTGCAGAGTCTACTCTCTCCACCTTTTTATAATAGAATAAGAGTTAAGCAGTAAAATAGACATACGTTTCTTGTTTGTAGCGTGTTAACCTAATAATAAATAAGCATTAGAGAGTAAAGGAAGGGCCAGATTAAAAAAATAAAATAAATCATTTAGGTTATGTTTGTGCCATGATGGAATTATTAAGGTTAAGCAACTTATGACTACAAAATCGTGGGGGCTCCAAATTAGTATAGCTGCGTTATAAATATATAAATTGTAGTCTAAAAGATTTCAGGTGTAGCGTATATTCCTCGATACTTTAGGTAATGTGGCAAACTTGACGAGTATAGCCTCCTTTTATCGTGCCGTATAAAATGATAGATTCAATAAATTGCAAGAAGAAATCGTTGCTAACTACCTAAAATTTTGGTTGTCTTTACGTTTTCCAGATCAGGCCTTCGTTAAAAAGTGTTGTCTCCTTAACGTGAAGGCTAGTTACAGAGTACGACGCTTGAGATTATATATAAGCCTGTAAAATTAAATCTTTCCTCTTAAACGAACTTTTTCCTATCGTTAAAAATTCGTAATTTTGGCATGAGGCAGATTACGCCCCTTTATACATCACGTACGGATTCACAGGAACCCGCTTTCTCCTTTATACTTTAAAAATTAAAGTCATTAGGTCGACAATAATATCAGTAGTATTTGCTCAATTTTAGCAACTTCTACCTCTCGAAGTTAATATTTTAGATTTTGGCATAAAGCATGGTAAAAACTACACTGACACCAATAAATATTTGTTCTATAGTTAAAATTAATATGGATGTATTTAAAAAAGATATATTAGTCATTCCTACGAGTAGCAAACCTTAATTATAGAAATTTTAAGTTACGTCTAATTATATATGCTTTTTTACACTCATCCCCTGGAAGCCATAATTGACAAAAAATTAAGCTAAAATGTTTATGTGAACCCACGATTGTAATAGTGAAATTTTATAAATTAGCCAATAACCGCGAATAAACTTGAGTTGAAGATTGGATTTCTGAGAAAAACTTCACCGCTGCTCACTCTTTTGTCACCCGTATACACAGTTGTAGATTAGTCCATGACTACACAACTGTTTTTTTTCAACAATGAGACTTATTAAGCCGTCTACTTAGTGGGAAAAGCGGGGATTAAAAGCTTAATTACTTTTATGAAATTTAATTAAGAAACTAACAGGCCAAACAAGAAACTGGCAAAAATGAAAGGATTATAGCTCCTTTATACTAAAGAACATCTATAAGCTCTTTTTTGCAAAAGAACACGGACTTTTAACTTTTATGCAACTCAGTACATGCTTCGATGTCTAGTATCTATAGTACCTCATTACAGCTCTTTATATCTCTTTTGTATTACTTATGTAGCCGTGTTAGTTAATATTAATTTAGAAAGGTACATCAGCCAAGTTCGTTTTGCTTTCAACACTATTTTCTTTATGAATTAACTGTTGAAAGAAGAAGAAAAAAAGTTTATCCTACAGCTGAGAAAATAGGATACCATATCTCGAAACATTAGCTAAAGCCGTAGCAGATCTAATTTATTAATATGGTAGTTGATATTGCCTTTTTCAAGGAAGAAGGCAGATGAAGTTGGTAAACAAACACATATATATGAAGACTGCGCGCATCTACTTTTCCCTTTGATCGAAAGCTACGTTGCGACTGATAATGCTTAACTGTGTACTTATATGCATTGTGCCTATACACATATGAAAGTAACAGAAGAACCTTTAGGTATGCAGCAGCTAATGTTCACATGGGAAGAAGACGTTCTGCATAAGTTAAAGAAGTATTTTATAATCAGTTATCAATGCGAGATAATTGGATGGCGTTTGTACGGGCAGTGACTGAGAGTAAAAGGTTTTTTAAGTTTGTTAGAAGAATGTTTACTTTGCGAAGTTCGTAATTACCAACGCCTTTATTTACCATGAAGCTACACTGTATTAACAATTCGTAATAGGGCTCTTTTTAAAAAGGAATTTTTTCATTTTTTTTATCTCACTTTTTTCAATAAAAGAAAAGAGCAGCGTGAATTAGAACTGCAATGCTTTGTTCAAACCTATCTCGAGGAAAAGCCCTTGAAAATTTTTTTGAAATTTAAGGAACTTAGTTTTAGGATATCTTGAGTGATTTACTCTCCTTTCAAGGCTCACTTTTCAGGAATAATCTGGAGGTCTTGGTATTTGTGGCAGTTTTGAGGATTTAACCAAACTTTTAATTAGAACCAGCGCTTGCAAGGCCTTTTTTCTTCAATGTTAATTGGTTTTGTTTATTCTTTAAATCTAAAGATACATCTTTTGTTTAAATGTAAAAAACGTATGGGAGAAACAAACAATCAAAACTGCGAGGTATTTATTAAAAAAAATTTACTTTGAAACGTTCCTTTGAAGAAAGACCACAGATATTACATAGGATGTTAAGTACGTGAGGATATTTACTATTCACCCTTTTTTTGGCCATTAACAAATTTGCTGTTCAACCAGTTCTTAGGTAATAAATTAGGCCACGTTGAGAGAAAATATATATTTAAAAACTCTTGATTCCCTTGGAATCAAGAGTTTTTCTCTTTTAAGTCAATTTTTTTTTTTCAAATTTAAATAATTTTGCTCTCCTTTATTCTAGCAGATTTAACTTGGTATATTCGTGAGCAAATTTTATTAACTCTGATGGTTATAATTGCGCAGTATTAAACAAGAAAACTCAACCTTTTTTGGCGTCTCAAATAGCGCAGTCGAAGCGAATAAAAGGGTCCCCATAATGTCTGTACAATTTCTTATTATTAAGATATCTCTTTGTAAATTTCGCAGTTTCTGTGAAGCACTGATAAAGTATAATTGCGAGTTTTACGATTAATATTAAATACAGAATAAAGTGATTTGTATTTTTTTAAGAAGTTTTGTTAACCAGTAGTATTCCATTTAAAAAATTATTTTGAATAGCAAGAATTGCATATTGTATTGTTTGTAATAGAATTATTGACAAATAAATTTATATTTGAAAAAGTTTAAAAACTATATATTTCTTTTTCTCTACCTGATTCTGGTGAGGTGATAGGAAAGTAGTATATAAGCACAACTATCAATATATTAAAAGTATGGCATTAGATTTATAATAGAATGACCGCTTTAGCTCTAAGGCAAGCCCAGTTTGTAATGTTCATTACAATTTCCTGAAGTTCTTAAGAGCTGTCCTTAAAGTGAGTAGAACAGGGTAGTGTTCAAGTTCAAAGTTTGTTATAGTAAGAAAGGTACATAGATTAAACAATATTATTTTTAGAATTTCACTTTTAAAATTATTATTGCTTTAGTAAGATGAGAGAGCCCCAGGGCGTGAAGACCTTCTTTTGAAAGTTCTTCTAAAGATATTCCACTTTAATTTTTACAACAACTTAAATTTCCTACCGCTTAATAGTCAATCTATTTTTTAATTCATTATTAGATTTATAAGCTGAGACAGCTTTTCGTTCTATTAAGTTTAGCTTACTACAGCTTTAAAAACAAATATTTTGTTATTCAAGATAATAAAATACACTGCTCTTTTCTATAAGTATCGTTACTTCGCTCTGGCCAGAGCTAGTTTTTTTTATCTTTACAGGAATAGCTTGGCGGAGTACGTAAACATCTTTAATAAAAACGAGTTTTAAATTAGGTAACTTCACCATTCAGAGACATCTAGAAATTAAAAATTTGCTAGTCCTTGTTTAGTCCCAAGCTGTAAAAATCTATAAAATCTTTAATTGATATTTTTTTTAACAGCAACCTAATCAATTTAGCGATGTAAGCACTTTTGGCAGTTTTTATTATAGCCAAAAAGCCACTTGTCAAACCCTTGACGGATAAAAGTTTTCTTCCTTTTCATTAAAGTTTTAAGTACGCAACTAGTAGAAAAGTACACTCGAATTACAATTTTTTTAACTTTTTTTTGCTTCTTATCTTTAACAATGAATACTTTTACTTTAAGACTTTATTAGGCTGGTTGTAGCGCGTATGCCAAGACTGCCACGAAAATAAGTACACAATAAATCTTTCTGCACCTACACCTCAGCAAAAATGGCTAATGGGGTGAGAGGTTACTATCACTTACTACTTTTAGAAACTTTTAATAAAAAGGGACGGCAGACTATTCTTTCTAGAGCGATAGTTAGTTTTGTTCTGCTAAAGTAAAACGCCTTACTGGAGTCGATCGGTTTGGAAGAAACTAGTTCGAGTCTAGTCAGTCTTGTATAAGTAACGGGCTACCTTTAAA